AGGAAATAAAACCTTATCCATGATTTGGTGAATTTACCCGGTTTAGCATCAGGTAACTTACGCTTCATAAACTCTCTATTTTCTAGCTAAGTGGTACAGCTACTTTATGACTGAAAACAGATGACTAGCATTTGTCTGTTTATCTTAAAGATGTTAAATTGACATTGTTCTCGGTATAAATTCCAAGCCATGTGTCACCTACAATGGGTTTGTGGTCTGGGTCTGGGTTTAATGTAGTACAGTGATGGCAATATGCTAGTCGCATCACTATCTCTGGTGGCGTCCACCTGACGTCTCTGGTTTGCAGTAACCTTTAGCCTTAATAGTGCATCAAATCTGAAAATCAAATTTTCCCAAAATATCCATCCCTAGTCCAGAGGTTACTTCTTTAGTTTTATACTGGACTGGAGCTATGAGGCTAATGTAGCTAACAAGTAAAACTACCAAAATGGAGACTGTGTCGCTGAAAACTAATAGTAACCACCTGGAAGTCTGAATTTTGTCTGGAATTGTATCCATTTACATGACACTATGTTACGCAGTGTCAGAAACCACAGAAGTAACTTTATTTGAAATCTAACAAAGTTAACGTAAGATCAGGGGTGGGTAACATGACAATGTTTATCATTATCTTGATAAATTACATCATGTTACAATATGCTTTTCTAATCATATTGTGGATACTGTACTTAAAGAGCACTGACCAACAGCATGTTTCATTACAAAAAGAGCATAATTCATCGTGTATGTGAAATGTTGAATAAAATCATCGTACTCATAGTTTTTGGTGGTATATTTTAAATAAGTTTCTTGTGGTTCTTTTTTGTCTGTTCTAACTAAATGTCATGATACTTATTGTGTATCAAATAATGTCTTGAAGTATCATGATGTTATGTTTTTGCTATTTTGCCCACCTCTACTCAGACAGTAAACATGTCCTAAAGTCTTAGCAGATCGACCACATTCAGGGTCGGGGAAAATCTTGAAAATCCGATTTTTTGCCAAGCTCTTCCTTGGAGAACAAATACATTCTCCATACAGAATTTTAATGACAACAAGATAAATGAATATAAACGGTAGTGGGTATATAGTGACGTCCAGAGCCTCAAAATTCTCCCCAGCCTGAGAAAAAGCCTTTTCTGTCAGACTGACAATGGAGGTCAAGTCCAATTCAGGTGTGTCAACTAGCCATATCCAGTTGTAGCAATGAGCAAGTAAAGTGCAAGAAAAAGTACAAAAGAAAATGCTACATACTTTACCTTTTCAACACGCATGGCCCTGACAGCTCTTAAAGAGGTGTAAAATGAGAGGTGCACAACCATTAATGCCCCTTTTACTCTGCCCATTCACGCCTAAAATCTGAGGAAGAACCAGATTAGAGCAATGTAATCTGTTTAAACATGTTTTCCATTGGCTTCTCTGTGGAATCCCCTTTTCTGCCGCTGCAGCATAGTAAGCTGTTGGGTGAGAGGGAGCGAGCCCTCCACCTGCACTGCTATACATGCCTGGATGCCTGCGTGGGTGGCGGTGGGCCGCTGAAAGCCTACATTTACCCACTTTGGCATAATTGCAGCGTTTACTCTCTGACTGCCTAAGTGCTCCATTCATACTGCTTCGCCTCGCCTGACAAGAGCCTCCGCACAGGGGTTGATTGCTTTACAATGGCAGATCAAAATATTAGAGTGATTCCTCTCAGGAATCATAGAGAGTGTTTGACTAACACTATCATTAAGTTGTCTGTCAAGCACCACAGACAGAAGGCTGAATGAATGGAGGAGAGAAAAAAAGGAAACACAGTGGAAGCACCGATGATCTGATCATCATTTTGGATCATTAACTGCAGTGAGCTGTTATGGAGTAGATTCTCTTCAAACCCAACAATTTCATAAATTGTTAAACTGCTTGAAATGAAAGCAAAAAAAAAAAAAACACAGAGCAGTTAAGCGTAAGCCTTGCGGTACATCCTTTTTCTCAGATAATAGCATTGCCGTGTCTGATGATCTAACAAGGCTATCAGCTAAACACATCACATCGCAGAGGGATTTTGATAAAAGCTGAAAAGGTCTATTAGACTACACATTTAAGTCTATTATATCTATATTCCATGCTTGATTAAAACTTCTTTTTCAAGCCACCATCCTATTTTTATAGTGCAATTCCACATGGACATTCTGTCATGGACAGTGAACTGGAACAGAACAAAATCACGTTCTAGGTGGGGTCATGAGGACATCTGTAGTAGAAGTTCTGAATCATCCAAGGGGTTAGTTCTCAGATCAATTCAAACCTTGGGGGGTCCTCCACACTGCAGAAATCCTCAATTAACCAGATTACCAGATGGGGTTATTTCACAAACCGTAATTCTCAGTTGGCTAGATAACTTACGCCAAAAGTCAGGCCTGTCCAACAGGCACAAGTAAGGGACATTTCTATTTGACAAGCTTTGTTTTTGGTTTAAAGGGACCCGTCCTACATTGTCTTGTATTTTGTTTTCCCTCTTAGGTCTACTTATAATATTTGTGTGTGTTACGTACCAAAAAGAGTCATAACTCATTTTTACAAGACCATTTTCCAACCTCTCTTTAAATATCCCTTATCTCTTAAAATAAAACAGGCTGTTTTTGTTACTGTGCCTTTAAGACTGATATATCACTGTTGTCAGAACAAAACATCATATCTCCATTAGCTCTGTTCTGGCTGTTGTATTGTGGCGTATTGAAAAAAGCACTTCAAGCTGAAACACTCCTTATAATTTTAGCATGAATGGGTGGGGCAAAACTTGCTGTAGACTGAATAGCGCTGTTGTCAGAGCAAAAGTCACTGGAACCATAATTTTTTCGAAGTCACTTGGGGCCTATTCTTTTGGTCCATTCTTCATGAAACTTACACACAGTGTAAAAGGCAACGGGCATTTTCAAACTATGTCAAGAACTGAAAAACATCAAAAATGCACATACAGAAATTTGTTCCGACAGTAGCGATAGATAAATATATGCAAATGGCTTTTATCCATGATATTATAAAAAGATGCTTATAGTTTCATTATATCGCTGCTGTCAGAACAAAACCTTGTATCTCCAAAATGACAACTTTACAAGAGAAGGAAAAAACATACTTGACTTTTAATGTATGTCAAGTAAAATGTGGCCTATGCAAAAGTTACAGCAAATCTTACACTTTATGTTTGATTTTTTTCCAAAATGTTAAACTCAGTGAACATGTTTACCCTGTTGAGGATGTGATAACTTATTTTCACTTTGGTAATTTGGTATTCAAACTTTTTCATATGACTACATGGCATACTTCCAGTTTTACAATAATGTTAAATAATGTTGAGAACTTTGGTTGTTTAAGTCAGTGGTGCTCAAACCAGTCCTCAGGGATCCCAGATAATCTACATTTTTCTGGTTAAAGCTTTTTACTTCAGGTTGAAGCAAAAATGTGGTCTTTCTAGGGTCCACGATGATGGTTTGAGAACTACTGGTTTAAGCACACAGTGGTACTAGCTAATGTATCATTTCACCTGATTATTTACATTTAGGAACAAAAATAAGTTGGAAATTATGCTTCATAGATGTTTGATACCATGTAGACCACCAATACAGGCCAAGGGCCGTATTGATCAAACTTTGCAGAGTAAGAATGCTGATCTGGGATCATCTTATTCCTTTTATAGAGTACTGAATAGGACTATAGACTGATGAGACCTGATTTTAGACAATGAAACCTATGAACCATGAAATGTAATTTAAAGAAAATAATCACAACTTAAATCACAAAATCGGTCGAATAAATTCCAATTAGACATTTTCCCCATATCAGCCCTGCTGCTTTGCGAAATACCCAATCTGAATCAATCTCATCAAACACAGCAAAACATGAATGGCACATCTGTGACATGTGCGTTCTCAGCTGACGCGGGAGCTGCCTCGTTATTGTTTATTTAATTATTCTATTACATCCAGGCCTTTGGCAGGCTCTCCCTGCACCAGTTGGCCCATGGGCGGATGATGGAGAAGTTAAGAGGTGCAAACTTTAGTCAGGAGCGCGGTGGCACTGTGGCGCTCCGGGTGCTGCCAGCAACCCAACAGTGGCGCCGCGCTCCTGAGTCACGCGCTGACCCAAGGCCCCCACCTGCACCAGCAACGCTTCTAGCCATAGGACCCAGCGACGTCCGAGCCGAGCCGCTCGCCAGAGCAGAAGGCCCTTTGACTCATGCCCATCTGGCCTGCTAGCACGTTAAGAGTACGCCAAGGTCCCTGCTAGCACGACGCAACTTCCCCACCCTGCCCAAGTGGGGACAGGCAGCGAATCGGAGAGCCCTAAAAGTTTCAGTGACGAGTAACTTCTTTTGCAGCGCATGGTTACTAGAGGAGATGAGAAGTAAACAGGCCGCCTCTGACTTCTCCCACATTGCATACACAAATGCACAAACACAGAAGTTCAAAGTCACACCCTGCAAAAGACATCTAAAAGGTATTACACTGTACTAATTATTACAGATGGTATCCATGACGTATGCATATCGTCGCTGCCCAAACATGTATCTCCAAAATAGTAACTTTACAGGAGAGGGCAAAAATGTTCTTTACTTTCAATGTAAGTTAATGGAAAAAGTTTTTATTCCAAGCAATTTTGGAGCATTTCTATTGGTCCATTCATCATGAAATTTGAATGAACACACAATGTAAAGGACAGCTGCTGAGCTCAAATGATGCAGAAAAGTAAAAATCGCAAAAAATGGAGATACATGTTTTTCATTGGACAGTGACGATATGCTTCTTTGATTCTTTTCTTTTACTAGGTGCTTCTGAAAGACCATGATGAATATGTTAAGGCTGGTTTCTCAGATATGGACAAGCCTAGACTGGGACTAACATAATCTTTTTATTTTATGTATCATCCGACATTTTTGCAACAGTACTCCTTATTTGAAAGACCTTTTGGATATACAATACACTGCAAGACTTATCAGAAATCAAGAAACAGAAGTTTCTGACCTGGCCTGGTTGGATGTCCAAGTACTGCAGAACCTCTTTCAGCAGAACTGGTGTGTGTGGCTCTCGCTTGGTTTGTGTAGTGGACTGTTCTGTGCTTCCGCTGTGACAGTCAAATCTGGAAGGAGTAGAACTGGAACAGACATGCTGAGGTTGCTGCAGCGTTCTCCAGCAGCAGCTGGGTGTGCATTTAGGGGAAACTTTTCTCTGCGTAAGAAGACGTGCCTGGCAAAGGGACATCAACAAGCCACGACTGGAGAGAGCCATGTCGAAACTGAAAACAGGAGAAAGAATCACAGGTCAGAACTTCTGTCTTCAGAAAAAAAAGACTGTTCCTACAGTACGTACTGTTCTGTCCAGGGTCAGAGACCATTCATTTACTCTACAGTCACAACAGCCATTAAGTTATTCATTGTTCAGGAGACATTTCAGACAAAGAAAAACTAGTAAAAAAACAGAAGTTCAAAAAAATCTTAAACATTCTAGAGAAAACGGGACTCCCAACAACCATGCGAGACCTGACAGACCACCAAAAACTGTCACCATCAGAGGAGCAGAACTTAAAGGTTTTATCATTTAGAGATTGGAGACAATCGATCACCACTCTTGCTTTAGATCTGAAAAACTCTTTCTGTCCATCCTTCTACATGAGAAGATAAGTCAACTGAAAGCATGTGTAGCTCTCAACAAACTGCTACTGAGAAAAGGAAATAGACAAAAAAAATCTGGAAATCAAACAAAGAAGCTGATATTCTCAGAATAATGGACTATCCACCCCAGAGTCCAGACCTGAACATCATCAAATGAGTTTGGGGCTGCTTGACTTGTGAGAAGCAGAAAATGCAGCATTGGAAATTCTTCCAAAAGAATACAAAGCTGTAATTGTAAGTAGGAATCTAGAGACTGTTTCACCCTTTAAGCACAAAATACTGATTATATCAAGACTGTATTGTGATTTTGAATAAATACTCATCACTAATTAAAAGAAGATGGCAAATAGTTGTAGAAAAAGGAAATGAGCAGACATTTTTACTTGTTTGAGCAGTTTTTCATATACATTCTTTAATTCAGCACAATGCCAAATTAAACACCGCAGGATTTCTCCTCATTTATTTGTTTTGTGGGGGTGGAGGAGAATGAATCGAAGAAAACTGGTGTGTTATAATAATGAATAGAAGGTTAGCATATTAATTATTCCTACTACTAACCACAGCTAAAATATGCTATTCCATACTAGCCTGTAGGTCCATGTGCTAAAAACCATAATGTAACCAAAGGACAAGAAAATATGTTGAAATGAGCTCACCGCAAAATGCACTAATGTTCCTGTCTGATTAACAGCACTGCTCTCAGATATGTTCACTTTATTTTGCAGTAAATAAAAGTACTAACCCACCAAATCAATAGGTTTCAGCTGTGACATGAATGTCTAGGCCAAAATGTTTTTCAAGAGTGAACAACGCATGCTGTGTTACCACATCAGAAAGAGAACTTTTCTAACACACTGTGAGGTGCTTTCTGCTGTGGTGAGAAGCTTCCATTAACATCCATTCACTGTTCCAATTCTGATTTGATTGCTTGCTTAAGCATCTTAGGCCTGATCAATAAATTTGTTGGCCAATAACATTAGCCAATATTAAAGTAATATAGATTTATCAGTATTGGTAAAAATCCTATTAATAAAGCACTGATGTTTAGTGGCATGCTTTAAATTGATCCAAATTCCTGTGATGTAAGGAAAACTGAAGCTTGTATGCCAGTCATGACACAGACTGTTAAGCTGACAGTCATCATCACCTACGCATTTCTATGTGGATACAGTTTATAGGCTGAACTAGTAAATATGAACACAAAAAATGAGCATGGTTACATGGTTTACCAATACTTTGATGAGTTTAGAATAATATAAATAATAAAGTGTAGAATAATGGTTAGAATAACACAAATGTTAATGCATCTAAACCTAACCTTTAGCATGAGGATGAAAGGCCTATCCCTGTAATGATCATGACATTTCATTGCCAAAATAAATGTGATGAACAATTTGAACTGCTCAAATAAACAAACATTACTCACTACCTACTGCCCTCTAAATGCGTTATTGCACAAAGACAAAAGTTTGACCTTTTGTTGTTTGTGTAAGACCTATGACACATCTTACTAAATGTTTTCATTCAGAAAAAAATGAACAGGCTTTTTTTGGACTTACTAGAATTTTTCAATTATCAACATTACATTTAAAAACTCAACAGTACACATGTAGGTTAACTGCTCATTTTGGACAGTAAATAAATGATGCCTGGTTTCCATCACCATCACTGCAATGAAAATCTGGCTTGGTAACTTTCTCTGGAAAGGGGTTTTTTATTTCCTATCAAACCACTGTTAATGACTTTGTCTATTTAGATACTTAGAAATTTTGAAACAAAACTGTATATTTCCCCTTTAACATATGATTGAGAAAGCTAACAACTGTGGAAAGTAGTTGCTGTCAGCTTAAATAATTGCGATCAGCTCAAATTACTACGACAATTACATAGTAACTGTGACAGGCCTAAATACCCAGTACCAAGTGGCGCACTCACAGTCCAAAAATATGCAGTGCAGAAGATTCAGCGCACACAAACAATCACCGCAATACGTAGTGCACAATCACTGTATACCTGCTGATAGGGAATAGCCATAATGCACTGTGTTGTTTGGTTTGAAGAGTCACACACAACTTCTCTGAGCAGGACTACCAAGCCCAGCTACAACGGCACAGTCCCACAGCCCTCTCTTCAGACCTGTTACAGATGTAAGTAATCTCTTCTGATGTGTGCAGTCAAAATCAGTGGTTGTAGCAAACCCGTATGACGTAGTGTCAGAAATCACTTACTACTATCATGAATTTTGTTCCCTGTAATAGTGATTTTTATAGTTATCCAGATTTTCAATAGTAGGGTATAGTAATCACAGGACCATTTTGGACACAGCATCTGTCTATGATGAGAATTGATCCAATATAAGAGATAAATACAAACAACAGAAAACAAAACTGCAATGACTTCTGGGAAGCTCCACCCCAGCGCTGTTACACTATTTAAGGTGCTCAATATTATTGGCTATCGGAATTTTTAGCTGTTTAAAATTGATATCGGCTATAACTTTTTCATATCGGTAGGGTTTTATTTAACAGAGTTGTGCAAAAAATGGAAATGTAAATAAACACCATGGAAAGTATATCCACCAAATAAGAATCTCAAAAATAGGCCTGGGCAACATGACAGAAGTCATACACAGTGATGAAATATGTCACAATTACAATATGCTTTTCTGACCATGTCATGGAGGTCAGTGCTCACAGAACATTGACTAACTGACTGCAAAATGAGTCCCGTTTAACTGGATTTGCTCCAACAGAGTATGTGAAAAACGGAATAAAAAATGTTGTATTCATAGTTGAAAAATTAAGGACCGTGACATATCGTAAATTTCTTTAAGTATCACAGTATTATATTTTTGCCATATAGCCCATCTATACTAAAAATATACTACTCATGTCAGTTTTCTGAACTCAGAGAGAGGCTGGAAACCACTACAGTTAGCATTCAATTTCCACCTCGTAGCATTCTTTACATGGACTATCAGGTAGCTGGCTATTACTTTTCATTCATTTCTTAATATGAATGATCTTTTGTTGTAGGAGTCGTTTAGTGAAAGTCAGACACAGACAGAGAGAGAGAGAGAGAGAGAGAGAGAGACAAATTGAGAGAGAGAGAGAGAGATACAAATTGAGAGAGAGAGAGAGAGAGAGAAAGAGAGAGAGAGAGATGCTTATTGTGATAAATCGCGCTGCCACTGAATCTTCAATGAATATTCTACAGATATTGCTTTGTGCTAACTGGAGTGGATCTTATACGATGCGAATTGTACAACGTACTCATTTCCAGGCTATACAGTGTATGCAGTAATAAAACAGCAGGCCAGAGTTCAGGAGACAAAGTGAACATACCACTAGCTTAAGCTTCAGCATGAATGCCCGAGCGGTGCATCATTGAATAGTGCAAGGTGGGAAACATTGGATGTATTTGCGTTCCGCCCCTGTTCCCACAACTCAAGTTTTCTTATTTATTCGAAGTGACTCATTTTTATTGGTGAAAGGAAAGCTTTTTGTACTTTCATGAAAAATAAATAATAGAAAAAAGAATTTGTACATGGAACTATTCAATTATTGCTTGGAAAAAATAAAGCCTAACATGTAATTAAATGTTTAACACATCAAAATTGAATTCTTACTTGTGGAAATTGAATTAGTACTTAAAATTCAACTATATTAATAAACTAATAATTAACCCTAATAAAAACAACACACATTTTTACAAGCATTAATGACTAATATTAATTTTCGATAACAAGAAATTCAGTCGCCAAATCGACTGACCAGTATAACTCATCTACAGTGTGAAAGTACATAACTGGGCACTTAAATTAATTGGTAATTCTACAATTTAAAAAATCTGCATAATTCAGCTGTTAATACTAAAACAAAAGCATGCAAGTGGTCTGGTCTGAAACCCTTCGTTCTACAGAGACTTCCGTCCGAATTGTTCACAGTGGTGATGATAGGAACCAGACGTCTGAAGAATGTAAAGCTCTTATAGCTCCCTCACAGAAGGTTATACATTAAAATGGTTATCCGATGGATATACGCTGCCTGATGTCTGACACGTTGTTTTATGATACGTTTTATAATAAAGGTTTGGCTTAAAATGAATTTAATCCGTTTATTTTAAACCATTCATGGCACAGGGGTACATGCAGGGTGTTGCAAAGCAAAATAGTCCACAAAATAAACTTTCAGATTTATGACTATTTCACCATCATCAGCATTATACATATATAAAACTCAAGAGATTTGTTCACTAGTGTTGCTGGATAGTAACTAAATACAGTGGCTATATTTATGTTGTAGACATTGATCCATGGTTCCTATCAACACCACTGTAAAAAATCAGTAAGTTTCTCTACAATGATCCATTTCATGGCGAACCACTCTGAATGGCTCTGTTTACATCTCACGGACTGAATTAGTCAGAAGTGTTTAAAAATGGGTGGAATTCCCCTTTAAATCTGTTTAAATTGTGTTCTCATGTGATTTTATTGTCACGTCTTTCAACCTCAGTTCTGACGAGAATTTTGACGTCGCGTGACGTAGGATTCCATTCCTCCAATCAGCTGTTGAGACAGCGGGGTGGCTTGTGTTTGAAAATCTTGGCGCTGAGAGGTCGGGGCTAAAGAACCGATGCTGCAAGCGACATGTTTGGGATTAAATAGTTATTTGTGCCGCTCACTCTGGAAATATTCACCCAAGAGGTAAACGAACTATATCTAGTCTTTGGAAATGTAATGAAAACTGTGCAGTGGGTGACATGTCGATAGCTTTTAGCTAGCGGAGGTTTGAATGTATGTTAGCCAGCTTGCTAAGCTACTCATGCTGGTAAAGCGTATGTAAGCTAACGGATGTAGCAACACGCCGACCTTTTACTATTCATCTAACTTTAATATGGGTGACAGACAGTGTTGCAGTAGTGTTTACAGCATGTTGGTTGCATTTGCAAGACGGGACAAATTGATTTAACTTCACTAACTAGCTTTTGACCCAAAGAGTGCTTGCTGTGTTACAAATCCTGCAGTCCCATTCATTGCTGTGCTATCTAGCTAACTTTGCTAATCAACAGCAGTGACAACAAGAGAGCTAACGTTAGCTAGCTAGCTGAATGAGTACTGCACTCTTAAGAAATTGCTCTTCAGGGGTTATTTGGTAAAGACAGTGGTTCTATATAGAACCACGAACACTCAAAGAAACAGTTGCACGTTTAAATGGTTCTGTGCATGGTGATGTAGTCATTCAGATTGATGGAGAATTTGCTGTATGTGGTTCTAAATAGAGCCTTTTTGAAAATGGTTTTCTATTGTCAAAAGCTGGACATCATAACAATGCCAGAACTCTTTTTGGTGCTTTATAGAACCATTTTCAGAAAGGTTCTACATAGAACCATGTACACATTGCCATGAAGTCTGTGGTAAATGTTACTAGCAAAGCCTGCAGACTGCTTTAACTTTGTGTTATGTTTCTGAAACTGTATTGGAAGAAATGCATATCTTATTTTGCCTGTATTGACAAGAGGGTTCTCAGTATTAAATGTCTTATTTCCTTTTTTCTTGCAAAGGTTTGTTTAAATAGAATGGAGAGAGAAAAAGATGGTCACTAATGTACAGTTGGTCATAAAGCATAGCATAAATGATCTTAAGTCAGTTTCATTATGTCCATTAAAATTAACAAGTCAAGCTTAGTAGGACTGACTAAGCATCCTGCACATTGCACAGCTGATGTTCAATTTAGCTGTTACTGTTGTTGAGCATAACACTGTTACTGTTAAGCACTGGCTTCCCAGTACCTGGTGCGGATTTTCACTGTGCCCTTTTTTCACGTTCTGTAGTTAAATCCAAAGGTGGTGAAGGAAGCAGGCCTCAGTGTCTTTAGCGGAAACTATGTCAGAAGAGGTGTGCAGCCACGTGAAGGTGGTGGTCCGTGTCCGTCCATTAAATGCCAAAGAAACAGATGGAAACTACAAGAAGGTGGTCCATGTTGTGGATAATCACATGCTCATTTTTGACCCTAAAGAGGAGGAAGTGACATTTTTTCGTGGCCAGAGAGTTGGCAACAGGGACGTGAGGAAAAGAGCTAATAAGGACCTCAAGTTTGTCTTTGACAGTGTGTTTGGGGAGAACTCGTCTCAGGCAGACGTGTTTGAAAATACGACAAAAGGAGTGGTTGATGGAGTCCTAAATGGCTACAACTGCACAGGTAAGGATGCTTTGTCTGTGTCTTGATCAAGATTGACTAATGGTCTGAAAACATAGAGGTCTGCCTGGGTGCTGTGACAGCATTCATCTGCCTGCACGGATTAATTGAGGTCCCGACTTCCACTCCAAACCCACCATGTTTCAGACCTAGACATGTGCCAGTATTCAATAATAGATTATACCATGATATTCAACACCTTGAAATGCTGTCACTGCATTTTAGTCAAGCATGTTGCATTTTCTCAGAGGATGTTTAGATATTCTCAGCAGTTCTGGTTTCACAATGTGCCACTGTGCTGTCACATCATGATTCCTCGCTTTATTTGATGTTTGTACAGCTTTTCTAATCATTTATTGGTCTGAACACTTTCAAAGCTTATAGTAACTGTTGCAGTGCTGTTCTTTCATAGTAAGTCTGTTACCAAGGGTCTACCAAGGGTCTACCACCCAGCCTGAAGATAAAAATCTAGGGAGAACAGAACCACAATGCCTATTAAGACTGTCAAAATAATAGGGTTTTGGAAATTAGTGTACAAATTGTACCATTGTACAAAGAGCCATCAGGGGAGTGTACTTGTATTATATTTATATATAGTAGTGTTTGTTTTTCCTCATACTTAATACAATATTGTGATAGCATTGTAATCCATAATAAAAGGTTCGGTAATTTTCATGACATTTAAATTTTTATGTCAGCATGACTTAACTCAGACCACCCTAGCTCTGCTGTTTTTGTGTATTTATTTTGTTTATTTGATTTGATCACCTTTTCAGCTTTTTTGCATACAAGAGAAAACAATCTATATCATAACGATATTCACACAGTAGACAAACAATTCTGATATCAACCTTTCTAAACAATAATTCAAATAGTAGATCATTGCTTATATGCGCTTTATATGGAGAACTGTTTTGGATTCAGACCTTGTTTCATGGTGAACAGTCTGACTGCTGTTGTTTTTTTGTTTAGCCAGAATGACCAATTGTGAAATGGCCACCAGGGCCCGTATAGATAAAGCTTCTCAGAGTGCTGATTTAGGATCTGTTCATGTCCAGGGAAGTCATAAATAAGTGAAATCTGGTTCTAGATCAGCATGCCTGCTCTGAGAAGCCTTATGATTGGGCCCATGTCTTGTGTGCCTTTCAAATGATTGGTTTCTGTCAAGTGCTAAACTGTCCTGTGAGGGCCTTTTTAGCCTCTTTAGTCAATGGTGTTCGGAGAGATTCCTGTAGGACATCAGTGACATTTAGTAATTTCTCCATTTCTGAGGATTGTGCAATACTATTGGGCATGCAGTTTCGGGCTAGTTGAATGCTAGTCCCAATTGTTGGCTCGATGGATCTGTATTCATGCTGGAAGTAGATTGTTTACTCATTGATTCTCTCCTGCTTTCATGTACACATTATAGACAAGCATTAGGCCCAGATCAAGATCAACATTAGAACTGTGCGCTGTTATCCACCTGGATCAAAATTGTAGATTTATTATTAGTTAACTGGACATTCTTTTAGTAACATGTAGCACCTTGCCGATTATGCATGTGCAATTAGGAGTGAGCAAGATGGTAAGCTTTTAAAGCTGAGTATGTTTTATAGAAGAAAAATAATTAGTTTGTTATCCATGTCAGCTGATAATCAAGGTTTCAGTGTCGGTATTGGAAGAATAATAGTAGTATCAGGCAATCTATCATTTAGACTAATTATTTGTAGGTTGACTGCAAGCTGAAACTGGATGAATTTTACACAAACTGTCTTACTGCTGACTGGTTTATTCCATTTCATTTGCATGCTGGCTTAATTCTAGTTGTGATTTCATTCAGCTTTCACTTTTCTGTCTGAGCTCAGAATAGTTGAAAAATCCGTCAGTGTAAAGCTCTGAATATTAGAGTAATAATTTGGACTTTCTGTCTGATTTTGAATGAGGAATGAATTTTTCCAGCATCAGTTTGCGGTTATGGGCTGAAATGGTTTGGAAGCTCCTAATTTGATATGGTTTTAAAATGCAGAGCTTTGGAAGAGATGTGTGGGTGAGTGTGGGTTTGGATAGGAGTTCTGAATGCAGTCTAAAGCCTGAAATAGTTTGTGTCATATTTTACAGTGGAACCATGTTCAGTGCAGAATTTTAAACCTATTACAAACATAAGACATTTTACGATACACGCATCATAGTGTTTTTTTTTTCCTGATATTTAAGAAATTGGAACAGACAAAATATAATAAAGTACTTATAATCTATAAATAGGCTTAATTATGCTCACTTTGTTATGAAACATGCAGTTAGTCAGTGTTCAGAAAAGCATATTGTGACAATATTTATTTGTTTTCATGATAAATAGTTATTGCCCACCCTTACACTGAGTTCCAGCATAAATGTAAATGTCATAGCAGGACTGTCTCTAAATCATTTTGGAATGATTGCTGTGATGGTGATCCATGTTTTAAAAGGCTTGTATATGTGTGTTTGGGCAGTGTTTGCTTATGGAGCTACTGGCGCTGGGAAGACTCACACAATGTTGGGCAGCAGTGATAAACCAGGTGTTATGTACCTCACCATGAAGGAGCTCTTCAGCCGTATGGACCTGATTAAAGAGGAGAAAGTCTTTGACATGGCTTTCTCTTATCTAGAGGTAAGCAGCGGGTTCAAAAAGTTGCTCAGCCTTCTTTTTTGTTATGTTTTGTTATTACTAGTATGCTTACACTTAATTTTAATACCAAAAAATGAAACAGTCATGGGTTCCTAAGTGTCACAATCGCAGATTTATTTAGCTACCTAGCTAGCAGATGGAATTGGCAGTGATTTTAATGGCCCTGCACACTTGTTTTTTGAAATCTATGAACAATAAATATTTCAGCAAAGAATTTTATATATTTCAATTGCACACACACTTTTCTTCCCCCCCCTTCCCTTCAATTTTTACCCGGTTTTCTCCCCAATTTAGTGGTCGCCAATTCCACCCGCTAGTTAGGACTCCCCCAATCACATGGTACTATCAACGCTAGGAGGGTGAAGGCTAGGGGGTGCTGAAGCCTATCCCAGCACTCATTGGGTGGAAGGCAGGAAACACCCTGGACTGGTCGCCAGTCCATCACAGGGCAGGCACACAGACATGCACATTCATACTCACACCTACGGCCAATTTAGCATCTCCAATTCGCCTGACTGCATATCTTTTGACTATGAAAGGGAAACTGGAGCACTCGGAGGATGCTCTGCGTCTACCTCTTCGTCAAATGTAACCGCCAGGATGGGTGGGCACAGGCAGACTGAAACCGCTGCATCATTTAAGATGGAACGGGAAAATTTGAATAAGAAGCCGGCGAGTTAGAAGCTGACTTCATCTTCGTGTTAACATTATAGTTGAAATGCAAAACCTTTTGATTAGCTGGCTAACAAAAAATATCTGCCCGTAAACAGTACCACTGAGAAACTGCTACAAGGCTGTGATTTACAGGCTCAGGGCCAGGTTCTTGTTCAGAATCTCCCTTTTCAGGTTCATACCAATAACGTCATGTTGGTGTGATCAGATTTCCAGCCTGTGCTGTACTGAGGTGCCTACACCTTAGATTTCTGTTTGTTATCAATGTTATTCGTAAGACATCTCATCATCCACATCGCCTCCAGTAAGTCTCGGGAAATCTGTTCCTTTCAGCTTGATTTGGCTGGCAAATCCAGAGCTGCGTTGAGCACAATTTTCAGATGAGTCTCCAATAAAATGCTGGCTACAAACTCTGCTACTGGGTGTCATTTCAAATTCAAATCGGATCTTAAGAAATTTGACCCGTTTTGATTTGGTCTCATTATTTGGACTAGCTTGTAGAGAGTGACCATTCTCCTTCTTGCATAAAAACTGAGCACTTATAAATGAGTGCCTTCTCCTAATAGCTTCAGCGTTAATCAAGTAGAGCAATGCGCAGCGTGTGGAGTGTGGGAGGGTCAGTTGATTTCACAGTTCATGAATATGCAAGATAAGGTAGTTTGATTCACCATAGTTAATTAGTGTGTTAATCTGTGATGCCTAAGATTATGCCAAATAAAGTCTAATTCCTGATTGGTAGGTAAGGGGCAGTATACAATAAAATAAAAATGTAGAGGTCATTTTATGCACTCTGCAGTGCCAAATAAATGTTTGAAAAATACTGTGCTGAGCCTTTTAAAATTGGGGGTTTAAAAAAAAAAAAAGAAAAACGCTGTATGATCAAATATGTAAATATAATTTATTGACCGCAGCCTTATTTTTTTGTTTATTTATTTATTTACTTATTGTTTGTGAATTGGTATGCTTCAGGAATTCAAGATAAGTCCTTTAATTGACATTTTGGTAAATAATTAAGGTCACAATGTAAAAACATTGTGAATTGTAAACAAATCCCTCCTCTGCAGGGCGTCTCTGAAGTGCCTGTTTTCTTCATTTCTGGCTGTGTGCCTTGCACAAAGGAGCTTTCTGTAGACACAGGTCCTTAAGGGAGTATCCCATGTTCTCTGTGACATTGTTTCTTTGCCTGTTTTTACCGAACAGGTTTATAATGAGCAGATTCGGGACCTCTTGGCCAACTCAGGTCCACTGGCAGTGCGAGAAGACGGTGCGAAAGGAGTGGTGGTCCAAGGCCTTACTCTTCACCAGGTGTGTGAGAGAGAAATAACCAATTCACCTTCACACTTTCTTGTAACTCACTGTTCATTGAATAAAACAAATCAAGTGTACTCAGAAAATTAATTCAATGTCCAATTACAAATTTGAGGACCACATTTTCTGCGCAAACCTAAATATACAGATGCAGAAATTTTGTTTATCATTTCAATATGGAACTTTACTTAACTTAACAACAGAATTTGAAACAAATATATATGAAGGTTTTGGCATGTATTTGTGGAAACTAAGTGACTATTATTAAAAAAAAATAAATAAATAAAAATGCTATCAAAAAGATGTGTACAGTGATCTGTATTCAGTAGTTCACATGATGTGCTGCACTGAATCTGATTAGACAGGGCTCATTATATTCTCTCTGTATAGAAGCATGCAGTCAGTGTTCTTTAAGTGCTGATGATATCCACAATATTTTTGTGCAAAAATTTAGCATAGTCATCAATATCGCCCACTCATACAAACCCTATTCCAAAAAGTTTGGTACAGAATTTAAAATGTCTTTTAACTTATGAACTTTGATCATTGTTTTTTGTTAGAAAAAAAAATACTAATTTTAAATTTGATGCCTGCAACAAGTTCCAAAAAAGTTGTGTCAGGAGCATGTTTACCGCTGTGTAGTCATCTTGCCTTTTAACAACACTTAATAATCAGTTGGGGACTGAAGACGCAAGCTGATCCAGTTTTGACAGCAAGATATTTTGCTGTTCTTCTGTTATACAAGTCAGCTGATCAACCTTAGAGCCTTGGTCTTATTTTGAGCTTAATAATTGGAAGACAGTTTTGGAATTGGCTTGGTGTTGTCATGGCGAGTTAAGCCTGGACATCCTAGAAAAAGGTGGTATCTAAAAGGCAGCATGTGTTGCCCCAATATGTGTTCATCATTAATGGCACCTTTGTACATGTGCAAGTTACCCACTAATACCCCCATGCCATCACAGATGTTGGCTTTTGAACTTTATGCTGGTGACAGTCTGGATAGTCCTCTTCTTCTTTGGCCTGGAGAACCCTGTGTCCATTATTTCAATAAAAAAAAATCTGAAGTGTCAGCTGGTCAGACCAACTACTTTCCCAACTTGGGAACTGGGTTTTTAAGAATCCATGTAGAAACCTTGTGCAGACATGAAAACCTGCAACTAAAGCTGCAGTGTTGCTGCTTGCATCAAATCAGCATAACTTGCATGTGACAGCAGAAATGTGACGTGTGCTGGTCTGTCAGCCTTGCTTGGGACTTAATTTAGTAGAAAACGCTCATTTTTCAGTTTTCAGTCTCACAAGTACGAAACAATGGATACAAGATGTGGAAAAAGTGACTGGGTTCTCTATGACTTTATACTCTTTGGCACATATGGTATCTGCCTGTTTTACATGTTTATAGGTTTGGTGGATTTATGTTTGTTGGTTTGCTTTCGCGTTTGTCTTCCTGTACATTGCTGAAGTGTTTGGATTGTCTAGTGCGTGTGCGCTTGTGTGCATTCTCAGTCTCTGATTGACTTAACCACAGACCACCCTGGACTGTCATTGATGAGGTGTGTGTGTGTGTGTGTGTGTGTGTGTGGGACCGATCTCTGTGCTTTATAGCCCAAATCCGCTGAGCACATCCTTGAAGCTCTGGATTATGGCAACAGAAATAGAACGCAGCACCCCACTGACGTGAACGCCTCGTCCTCCCGCTCCCATGCCGTATTCCAGGTAAACATCCGTCTAGACCAAGTGCCAGTCGGAACACCTCCGCCTCTTCAAAACATGCTCTCTCATTGTTTTGATGCAGAAGTATGTCGTTTATGGCTGTAGCATGGCAATAGGTTCATATATGTGTGTGTGTGTGTGTGTGTGTGTGTGTGTGTGTGTGTATGTAAATATGAATATTCAGTAAAGTTTACACTGTTTTTTCACCAAAATAAGATTATTAGGCTATTTTTAAATGTACTAATCATTTATTTGTTTTTAATGTCTTACATAAACTACTGTGTTAGTAGTTCGTTCTGTGACATTGTGTTTTCAATTTCAATCTTAAATTTAGTCCCTATGTGTATTGTTTCTTATTTTGAGATGGTTGTAAGAACATTATAAAATTATTCAAGCTTTTCTACATGTGATTTCTTGTTTTAAGTAAGTTTATCTGGAGAAATTGTCTTATTCTGTGAGCAATTTGTTTTTCAAGACATAACAAACCAAATTATTAGCCAATAGAATAAGAAGTTGTTTCACTAAGTAATATTCAGTAGCTTGAATCAAAAAGTGAAAAAGGTCAGAAATAAGTTAAATATTATATTCTTACAACATACTCATAATAAAAAATATTAGATATATTGACTAGGTTTAAGATTTTCGTTTGCCGAGAAATCGCTTCTGCAGTGTATCAAGCGAATCAAATAGAACCAAATTGTAAAATTTGATGATCCATTGAAATATTTCCTAAAAAAATATATATCGGGTGAATTGTTGTAAGGAAAGATTTATGTTTATATTCTCTTGTTGTGGTACTGAGTAAAATGGATGATATTTCAGCATGATATATTTGATTTAGATATTTCTTCCACCTCCCTTTTCCCATACACACATTAATCCTAGTCATGAGTAAAACCTTTTATTGCTTAAAACAAGAACCCTGCATGTTATCTCATTGTTTGTTTTTTGCCTCCTGCTGCTTTTTCTTTTCTTTTGCTTTCTATCTGTTGTCCTGTGCAGATCTACCTGAGGCAGCAAGATAAGACTGCAAGCCTAAACCCTAATGTGCGGGTGGCTAAGATGAGTCTGATTGACCTGGCTGGTTCCGAGAGGGCCAGCGCCACCAATGCCAAGGGGGCCCGTCTCAGAGAAGGGGCCAACATCAACCGCTCTCTCCTCGCACTGGGCAATGTCATCAATGCCCTCGCTGATCCTAAGGTAGATCTTTAGTTGACACATAGAGATACATGATTGCCCCAAATCGTAACATCAGCGGTTGTTTTTATCTTCTAATCCATTTGGACCAGGTCTGCTGAAGGTATCATTAGTTAATTGTTCTTGCAGTGCTGATATTGTAAAAGGCTGAATTGTTTAAATAAGCCCTCTAACAAATTATGATTATTTATTTATTTATTTTTAAGTAATTGTGTCTGTGAGCATCACAGACATTCCACATGGATGTTTCTGTGACTGTTTCGATGAATCAAGGCATTAAATGTGAACAGTTTTTGTTCAAAGTAATGCATGGCAATCTTTAATCATGCCAGGGGTTCGCCTTGTGTTTTTAATAGACTGCAGTATGTGGCAGTATGATTTGGACATTTGTTTCTCATTACAACAAATTGCCACTTATTGTAGTGTGTGTTTATATCTGTGAAATTGCAATTAAGGGCAGTTACTTAAGTGAGATTGATGAGGTTTTTTCCATACTGGTATGTTAGACTGAATGATTCACACCACATACACACATACTCAAACCCATGCACGCCCGTACACAACTACAGCTTCAGTTGTTGTGCACAAGCTGTGCTGTGACTTAGACCTGATACTCATATATGACTGCTCTGAACTCCTGCCCAACACAAAACAACCGACACTGCACTCAGAATATTCTCATGGTCTGGAACCATCAAAATAAACTTTTAAACTTTAGATAATGATCATGATAAAGAAGCATAATAACAGTACTAACAACAAGTGTTTCAAAAGCAATCCTTTAAAGGGAATTTTTCAAAGTTTCTGAATAATTCGATCCTTAAGATGTAAACAAAGAATGGTTTAGTGTGCAGTAGGTTTGTAGAGAAATTTACCAGCTTAGGTTTCTTGATGGCGATAGGAACCTGGTGTTGCAATGTCTACATTGCAAATATAGCCATTTTTTTGTCCTATCCAAAACAGCCAGAGAACGTACGTGTTTTTATACAGTCAGGTCCATAAGTATTTTCACAGTGACACAGTGACAGTTTTGTAACTTGTAAAATATGACTAATTCCTACACAGTTAATGCAGTATTTTTGTTGAACCCGTTAAATGAAAACTAAAAGTCTACACTTTAATCACACCTTGACTGCTTTGTTCCAAGTCAATTGTGGTGTTGTACAGAGATAAAATTGTCACAAAAAATAAATAAAAAATAAACAATTTATAATAATAATAATAATAATTATAATTATTATTATTATTATTATTATTCAGGACTATTTTGTCTTATATTTTCACTTTTCATGTACCTCTTCACCATGATTGAATTTTTTAAAATGTGTGTTGGGGTTAAACCTTCTCAAAACCTCTCAGAATCAAGTACTTTTTTTAATGATTTCATATAGTAACTTTCTGTGAGGTAGCTTTTAAAGGCATTAAACCCTTCAGTTGTTTGATTTCTATCACCACCCCTGTGAACAGTTACAGTTGTAGTAAACACAGACCCCAATTGCGTCTGAGACATGAGAAACTAGCCTCCGCATCTTTTCAAACTGTTGCCTACTGTTGCGCTAAGTGATGGGGAGATGGAGAGTCCATCCCACCTATCAAGGTGGGGTGAGGTCAGTTATGCTCTCTTGGTCTCCTGACCATGGATGGCTGTGGCATCACTAGGTATCAAGCTCGTAATCTCCGCTCTGGCTGAAGGTTAACCTTTTATGTGCAAGCCACTTAAAATTGGTAAAACATGAGATGGAGAATTATCACAGTAATAAGTTATGGGATACATTTTAAGGCCATCCTGGTAGTAAACCCATTTCTGCATTTTTCATTCTCCTGTCTGTCAATCTGATGTCCTCTGGCACACAGCCAGGCATGATCAGCTGGGTTTGTATCCCACCGTCACACGTTCTCCCTGGCAACCTCTCCCAGGGTATCAACCCCCCCCACTTTTCTGTTGGGCCAAACCCAGCGACTCCTCTGGCTCCATGACTGAGGGCCTGATCCTATCTGTACTAGGATGGCTACACCTCTCTCAGCCGGGCTCTATTGTGTACACTAATCCTTGTCCTCAGGGGCCTCTGTTTGTGTGTCTGTGTCTGCGTGTGGGATGGCTGCCTATGCGCTGCATTCAGCTCCGGCACGCCGCCACCACAGACTCTGTGTGGAATTGTATCCAGATTTCCACCCCCCTGCTCCGAGAGGGATGGAGAATAATTTATACCCAATCCCATTAGCGCGTGACTGCTATAGATTGTAGTCTCACAAAATGCTGTTAAATCTGCCTCTGAGTGTTTGTTTCGTGCCATGAACTGTGATAAACTGCGTTTGTATTTGTTTTCAAGGATTTTGAACGCTGTGTCTCAGCTAGTGCGCAGATTGTTTTTTCTTTTGTCCTCTTCTAAACAGCATTATATGGGAAAATCTTTCATTCATGTTCCATGACAATCATTTTTGCCATGTTTGCGTTCACAGCAGGGATGCACCAAAATTACATAACAGTCTAAATGACTTGTTCCAATCTTAATAATTTCAACCGCAAATACAGATGTCACTATGATTGCCATTCATAAAAAATATATATGCATAGCCATTATCCTGTCTGCTGGAAGCATCAGCTAGTGAAATTAGTATAGTGTAACTACAAGTTAGTTGAATTTTAACTTTAACCTATTTTGTTGATGTTCTCAGTGAAAATATGTCATTTAAAGTGGTGTATTTAAACTTTTGCATCCGACTGTATGTTGCATTGGCCCTAATTTTTTTTTTTTTCTTTTACCTTTTGCGGTACTTTTTCTTTGTGTCCAAGTTCACACATTACCATCTCTGACAAAGTCCTTGTCTCCTTTTTGTACTGAAGCTTCTGAGCACTGGAAAAATGTCCAAGATGAGTCTATGCAATTCAGATGTCTATTAATTTTCAATAGGTAGTGTATAGAGTTTCACCAAATAGTAGATATCACATGATTAGTTATTCCAACCTTTAGCCATTGGGGCAGATGATAATTAAAAACAGTCTAGGTTTATTTATTTATTTATTTTTCCATGGTTCTATTGCTCTTTTCACTTTGTCTTTAACGGGATTGGAATGAGTGTATTAAGGGCTGTAGGCGTGTGGAGCAGGTGATGCTGACCATTATAGAGTGATAATTAGAACCACACTTTAGCCTGAGCCGCTCTGACGGGTCTAATTTATACCGTTAAGTAGTTGAGGTGCAACTTCAGATTGGGTGGAGTAACTGTTTTAACAGCGGCTAAACTCATCTAGAGGTTAGTGTGCTAGTCTGAGGAAAGCTATTTTCCTTGCACTAAGTATACTTAAAGCACGGGACTGAAAGACTTTTGAAAGTTTTAAGAGTTTGTTTTCTCTAGCAGACGTCCAAGTAATTTTCTCTTGTTTGTTTTGTTTGTTTATTTGTCTGAACCGCACAGAGAGCCTTTTAAGGATGCTGTATATTCTTAGCTGCTCTGTTTTCTGCATCCACTGTGTTTGTTTTTGTTCAGTACTGCGGTAGGTTTATGAAAAGGCTTTTTCCCAAGCCTATTTGTGTTGGGGTTGCCGTGAAAGTTAGTATAAGTGAAAGTCTTTACAGTAAGTATAAATCATAAACAAGCTTAAGACACTACAGCTTTAATGATTTACATGGACCCTTGCTTTTAGGCTGTGTTCACACTTGATGTGTTTGCTTTGCAGGTTCGCAACATCACAACGAATGGGTGACAACACACCAAATCGGTTCTCTGCCAATAAACGCAAAGAAAATATTGTAACACTAGCATACTCACAATTTGTAACACAAACACACCTAACAGTTGTTGTAATACGCTAGTTATGTGTTTATCTAGCAGGCCTGTTATGACAATAAAATTTTAGCTGGCAATTATTTGCGAAACAAATAATTGAGTAGCAATTTGGGTTTTTGTTTTTTTGTTTGTTGGGTTTTTTTTTTTTAAGAAGAGAAAAATTGTATTAAAGCCAAATTAACCGATAACTCCTACCTCCGAGCTGTTGCTACTGCCTAGCTTTCAGCTGACGACAGCCTGAGTTCACATAAACAAACATTACGCACCGAGGCCCTCTTAAGGTGTTATAGCACCAGACGTTATATTTTATTGTTTTCGTAAGACTCATGATGAGTCTCAATAAATGTTTGTTTTCTTTTATTTATATGAATTTGCTTCAGCCCTGCGAATGCCCTCCATTTACATTGTTTGTTGCGACACAAAGCTAACAGCTGTGGAAAATAATTGCAGTCAGCTCAAAAAAATCTTGAGTAGACGATTATGTAATAATTGTAAAAGGGCTGCCCCAAACAGCATTTTACAAGCTTCAGGTAATCATTGGTGTTTTCAAACAAGTACTTAAATAATCGTTCTCAATGCTACCCTTAAAAATATTTACATTGATTTTATAATTAACCATGAGTAGTTAATGAACCCGTAGTATGTTTTAGATATTTTAATCCAAATATTCCAGTTTTCAGTTTGTAACAAAGAATTCCATACATTTATATGTCACTTTGTACCATGGATGTCCCAAAGACGGTACAAGACCGATGTGCTGTAATGCTATGTTCAATAAGAAGACGGATAAGTCTAACTGGTTTTCTGCTTACCTAAATAGCAATGATACAGAAGTTGTACATGTAAATATTTTCAAATGTTCTTTAGCGATGTGTTCTCAAAGACAAGATCACTGATTTACTGAATGGATAGCCAAGCTCACTGCTAACTTGGTGGTCCAAATTCAGTTCCATCGCAAGTGAAATATCTTCAACAGGCAAACATAAATTGTGTTGAAGGTTGATGGCTTGGTGAGTTATTCTGACATTTGCATGGACAAAGCAGGCCTTTGTAGAGAACATCTTTGCATCTTTGTCGAGTTTATAGAGATTTTAGTCTTTGGTCATTGGTCTCCACATCATTCAACTTTTGTATACTGTGGTGACTAAAACTGTGTGCAGGGTGTGTGTTTTGAAGAAGAGGCGGTAAGGTGAGCGGGTTTGTCCCTGTCTGTGGGCCTCACTGCAGCGTGAGTGTGTGGGTATTGTTTTCATGCCATCTGCATACATTAACCAGTCACACAGACGTCTCACCTTACCCACGGCTGAACCACTCCACAATGAGGAGCATTCCTGCTCCCTCTGAACTACAACTCAACTATTAATCATATTTATATCGAAAGTGCAATTTGAAAGAGTGCAATTTTCAGATTGCAAGAGGTGCAATTTTAATAGTATTCTGTAATTCAATGTTGTATTAAGATTTAACTGGGGAAATTAAACTGGAAAAAAGGCCTTGAACTTCACTTAGACAGTAATTTAAACTCCAGTCGCAATATTGATCAGAAGAATCACAATTGATATTTTCTTCCAATTATATAGCCTTGCTCTGGATATTTACCCAAAATTTTATTTAAATGCATCAGTAGTCTGGTGTGAGAAGTCAGCAGAAACAAGGGCATCATTATTTATAAGCATATATCGTACCTCTTAGAAAAAAAAAAAAATCTTACTTAAAGTCCTTAATGTAAACATCGCATTAAGGCACTGTAGCAAACTGTGTTACCTTAGCTCCGCACAACTGTTTTTGTGGACCGACGAGGTTTGTTTCATGGCTTAATTTAAATTACCTATTTTAGAGTTGAAAAAACTCTGTGTTGGTGTAAATCTTACTTTGTTTACTGCTTTTTGTTTTCCTCTCTGCGGTAATTTCTACCAATGAAAATGAAATGGACTGTAAAGTGGGACAAGGTCTATGTTTCAACGCTTTGCAAAATGGAAGCTCCCTATGGGCCACCACTTGCTTTGCAACTATAATGAAAACATTCTCTCACATGCTTGCTCTCTCTCTCGCTCACGCTCTCTCTCTCTCCCCCTCCCTCCATTTACCTCCCAGACGCCCACCTCAGGCCACACACACTCATTCACTCTCAATCACTCATTCTATCACTCCCCAAACATCAAACGCACAGACAAGCATGCGCTCCAGATGTTGTGTTTAACAGTAAGACAACAGAACAACACAAGATTACAGCAGTGTGAACTGGACCCACCCTATTCTTCCACCTGGGGCTGCTGCCATGTGTGTTTTGCCTCTACAGCCCTCTTAACACACCCAGCTGAGCAGTAATTTGGTCATCAAACTTCACGCTTGTTGAGTTTTTAACCGAGTGGTGGAATTACACTTGGAGTTTTAGATGCTGAGGTTGCCTGGGGTCAGTTATTGATTCTGTGGACTGTCACTCTGAAATGTGGCTCAGTTCTGATCTGATTCAAATTGATTACTTGATAAATTTATCTTTCTGATGAAATGATAATTCCACAATTTCCAAATTTCAGTACAAACCTGGCCAAAAACTGAAATAATTATTCTTTAAAATTGTTTTTATTTATGCTTTTAAATAAACATACTGAACATAAATAGAGAAAATATGCTTTGATTTTTAACTAATTCTGCCTTCAATAAGACAATATGACAAAACTAAGCTGACATTTAAAACAGTTAATATGAAATAAACATACTAAAATAATTACCTTACATACACTGTACATCCAATATCCTCAACAACAGACAATGGTTGTTAATTTGTTTTTCATCTTTTAAATAGCTATTTGCACTTTAGGGCTTTAAAAGAGAGAGGACTTTTTTCTGCTTCTGTTTTGCTGTATTCTGCTTATTGAGTGAGATGTCATGTTTTCATACCCTTCCTTGATACTCTATAGGAACAGAGATAATGAATCACTTGTTTGTCTCTCATAGAAATCACAAAATAGTTCTACACAGCTGTTTTCCCCCCCACTGTTGATCTGCTGCTGCTCAAAGTGTTTGAGCATGTCTGTGCTAGCTGGCGTAGAAGAGGGAAGTAGCAAACAGTGTTTTAATACTGTTTCTCATTTGCTTTATAATTTGAATCATATCTAAAGTGTTATTATTAGTTTGACACTGATTTGGCCTATTTAATCTGTGAGGGGTTTTAACCCCCCCCCTCCCCTCAGCCAACATTTTCAGCTTTTTCCCCCTCTTTCGGCAAAAATCAAAAGTTCCACTGCACGTGAGTGCTTTGTAACTGGCTGAGTCACTTTTTGTCCTCGTGGGAAATTGAGGTTTCAGCCTGCCTCAGTGAAGTGCAGATTCCAAGTGCTACATTCCCACCACTCTAATTATGTCTTTCTGTTGCTGCAAGCAAGTAATGTAATTTGATCTGTTCTGTCATTTCAGCCCCTAATTATGTGTTTATTACGGAAACTGTGTGTACTGCAAAGATGATAAAAATGAATGATTTGAGTCTAGTCTTCCTAGTTTATCCTTACACAGTAAAGTACTGATGAAGTACATTTTCAAAGGCTGTGAATGGTCTATTATCATAGGTTTGTCATTCCATTTGTATTGTTTAGCCTTTCTTTAAAACTAGATTACTTGATTGATCATCACAATAATTACTTGATTTAATATGTAACAGCTTTATGATGCAATCAGACTTGGCAGGTTTGGGTCAGTTAAAACGAACCTTGGTGCGATTGCTTTATTTGTGCAGTTCATTACAGCAGATGAGAGTGCTGCCGTCTAAGCGCCAAATAAGCGACAGATAAGACCGATAAAATAAGACATAAACAAAACCAGCAAGCCCAGATAGAAAACAGAACAGTGTGATTCAGAAAGATAGGTGGACATTATCACAGTTCTTGTATGTCACTAAAAACTGCCCAGAGTTTTTACCCATATTTTACTCGTATGACTTTTGTTTACATCTTTTGGTTTGATGTTAATTATGTCATTGTGAACACTAAGTGAACCAGAACTAAAAGGTAGCAATAGATCACTTTCTACTTTGGTCTGGACCAAGTGAACCAAAGTACAAGTATAAAAACACTCTTAGTCTGCTATCTCCAACTGCTTCATTGGTCAATTGGTTGAATGTTTTTTATTGTTTGTTCTTTGTTCTTTGTTTAGAGTAAGAAGACGCACATTCCTTACAGAGACAGCAAGCTGACGCGGCTGCTGAAAGACTCTCTGGGTGGGAACTGCAGGACAGTGATGATCGCTAATGTTAGCCCATCCTCCCTCTCCTACGAGGACACACACAATACACTTAAGTATGCCAACCGGGCCAAGGAGATCAAGTCCACGGTAAGGTCTCACACACGCGAACGCACTCAAACAACTAAACCACTGCCCCAGTTGATATGCTATTAACCTAGAAGTTAGATACTAGAAGCTCATTACTACTCTTAGCTACTATGAAACTATGTTCTGTAGTAATAAGAGTAAGAAATAGATGTGTGGGCACATACATGGAAAATTTAGTTAAACATGCCATTGTGTTTATTACATATAACGTATAATATCCTCCATATCACTACATAAAAGGTTTACTTTTTTCCTTTCATGTTCTTTGTCATATTAAGCACAATTCATCATATCATACCATTTTGAAGACAGATTCTTGTTTCTTTATAATTGCAGTGTAGTGGCGTGCCCACCTCCAAACACCTTCTGACATTCATGTTCATGTGCACCATGTGCAAGGAAAATTAGATATCCAATTAGATACCAGGATTTATTCTCCCTCATCCAATGCAGGTGCCAGAGGTGGTGTTATTTCCTGCCTCAATGTCCTGTATCACCTGGAAATATATCACATTTACTTTGGCAAAAAATATAATTTCTGTAGTTTTCCACTTAGATGCCATAGATGTTTGGAGTCCAAATTTTGCTTCTTTAGTTAATGTTGCTAACAAACACTAGAAGTCAGTAGTCACCCAAATAGCCCAAATTATGTATGTAAATATACATTACCAAAACTTCTTAATTTCAGTGTTCTGCATGACCTTAAGACCTGAATGTGATTAAGCGGGTTGAAAGAAGCTTGATGTGTGATGTTGTTGGTTTTTTTTTGTTTTTTTTTTGGGGGGGGGGAAACGATTTTAACTATTTGGGTGACTGTTGAGTTTTAGTGTTTGTTAGCGACATTAGCCTCACCATTCCAGTTTTAAACCAAGGAAGCAAAATTTGTACTCAAGATATGCCTTGGCTGATTGACTACGTCTGGGGTAAGTGGAAAGGTACCTTCAGCAAAAGGGAGGAGAATATACTCTGATTTGTGATTCACGTTGACCTTAATCAGAAAATAAGTTGCAGAAATATCACTTTATGTAAGAGGGATACTGTAATATTCTGTAATATTTAGACCAATAATGTAAAAAAAAAAGTTCACATGCAACCCTAAATGTATACCTTTTATTTATTTATTTATTTTTTTTATTTTTTTTTGTATGTAGCCTAATTTCTCTCTTTATCTTTCACCCAGCTGAAGAGTAACGTGGTTAGTCTGGACAGTCATATTGGCCAGTATGTGGTTGTATGTGAGAAACAGAAGGCTGAGGTAAGGATTTATGTGCTGCTTTTGTCTTCTACCCTTTATTATTGCATACTATTATATGTCCTGTGACATCAGCCTTGAACACAAACACAGACTCATTGTAGCTCTCATTACCTATGCTGTGTATCTGTGTAAATCTGGTCTGTTTCCCCTGACAGGTGAGATGGTCTAATTACAATGAGGCAGGTGTGTGTTAGCTGAGACTAGACTAAGAGTATGTGTGTGTGTTTGCAGATTATCCTGCTGAAACAGAAACTGAAAGAGTACGAGGAGCGGAAGGTGGAGCCTTCTACCCTTAATCCAATCTCCAGCCAACGGAGAGCTGAATTTGAGAAGTAAGCTGCATGCATGTGCATATGTGTGTGTGGGCGCTCGTGTACTTGCATTTAGCACGTACAGCTGTGTAGTCATGCACGGAAAAGCAAACACTATTTGCAGGCAGCAGCTTGTGGCTTGAGACCAGTGTTTTTGTTTGTTTAGTCGTTGTTTATTTTATGCCATGTGTAATGTGTAACTGCTCTTTAACTCTGCCTTTTAAAACTTTTAATACCCATCAATAATTGATGAGTAAGAGTACACAGAACAATGCCCAGGACCCGTCGCAGGTGGAGGTCTCCATTCCTCTGCATTTTTCATCAGACACACTGAGACTGGAGGATGGCACTCTGTCTTTTCCTCTATGTTTCTTTAATTATTTTCCTCCCCTTTTTTATTCATTTATTTATTTTCCTTATCCCCACTCTTCCGTAAAGGAAATGTAGCATAACACTGAGACACGTCCTGCTCGCCCCACCCCGGTTCCATCTCCCTATCCGGCTTCGTCATGTGCCGGTGCTCGTCAGCAAGTGCTGCAGCAGCATCACTGAGAGAGAAATAGAAAAAGAGGAGGGAAAAAGCGAGCGGACGAGGGAGGGAGAGCGAGTAGGAGGCAAGGGAGGAATGAATGAGTCTTACTCCTACGCGTTTTCATTCACCGGCATCAGAATTCACAACTGGGAGGGAGGGGTTGAGCAGGGAGGAATGGCGGCACACTCCCAGCCACATGAAAAATGTTCCAAATGCAAGAGGCTGGCAGCGGCACCACTGCAGCCACGTCACACTGCTGATGGCCAATGTCTTGCGCTCTCTCTCTGTTTTCCCATGTAAAGGTTATTTATTTTATTTTTTTTATTTATAAATATGCACTAAACTCCCACCTACGATACCTGCCTTGATTGGCTAATTGTTTTTGGGAATTGGAGAGAAACATCTAAATAACTTGAAGTTGAAATTTGCAAATAAATTTTAAATAATAAAATAAATGGATGAATTGAAGATTAACAGATATGGTTTAAAATTTGTTGTTTGACTATGCAGCTGTAGTTCAATGTTGATTATTAAAAAATCTGATTCATTGTTTCTGTCTATAGTTATTATATGACACCACAGTCATTTTGACAGTACAGTACCGGTAGGCTTTCAGTAACAGGCTGACATCAGGAGAAAATGCTGAATTGGATTTTGGAGGGGTCAAAAATGAATCATTCCAGTCCAATCCAATCCTGTAACCAATATAGCCTGAAATACCAAATACCTGTGTCTTGTCATGTTGTTAGCTACAATGATCCAAAAAAGTAAGCCATACTTTAAAAAAGTTCCCTGTGTTGGGAAATGAAATGTCAAGTGGCATTTTTATTTTAAATTTATTATGTTTTTTATTTATTTATTTATTTTAAATACTCATTTAAAATCCCAGAGTAATTTGCTTTTTTGGCGAAAAGCAGCTGACGTGATTCAGATCGTTATTTCTTTGCAGACTTCTTCTACAGGTTTGCATCCAAAATAATTTTGTACACCTCTGAAGCGCCAGACTTTCTGTGCTTTACAGAACTCAGTCTGGTAGGAATTCTTCTCTAAACTTTTGCCATGTAAAAAGTTTACTACGAAGTCAAACAGCTATTTATTTACTCATTAACTCGCTCATTAATTTAATGGATTCATCTGACTCCAATGACCATGCACCATTACTAACTCAACCCATACATTCTGGTTCGGCATGCTTGGTACCCCAGCAAGAACAAATTCAAGTATGGTGTGGGTCTCTTGGCAGTGGAAAAACGATAGTGAATGATCATGGATTTAGAACTGAGCTGCACTGTTTAGATGTGTGTTTTTTTTTTTTTTTTTTTAAAAGAGTATCTTTTGTACTAGATATAAACTAGATCTACTGAATTTTTAAGCACAACAGAAAATTTTGTTTCAGCTCTTTGTGCATTTTTCCTCCTCTGCTTTTTTGATTTTTAAATAATAGCTCTATTGTTTATGTTGGTGTTGCATATGAATGTTACCAAATGCTGCCAGATGCTCACCTTGTTAAAGGTGAGGGTTTTTTTTTTTTAAAACATAAAGTTTGTCTGTTTGTGTGTGCATGCAGGATGTCAGACTCATTGCGCAGCGTGTTTGAGGCACGGCAGCTATTGCGCCAGGAACAGCTGGACATCGAGAAGCAGCTGAAGGAGAACCGGATGAGACTCAGTCACAGACAAGAGTGGCACCAGCAGAGCCTGCTCTTCTTCCCTGACAAAGTCGAGAAGGTAGCAGCTTCTCCCTTTCCACAGAGAGTGAATTGGCACATAACACTTGAGGTTGTATTGCATATTGTAGTGGTAGGCCTGCTACGTTTTGTTATAGGGTTTCAAAAGATTAATCAATCAAGCTATTGTACATTTGCATTTTGCAGTGCACAGCTCTTCATGAAATTTTAGCATATTGCTAGGTCACGTTTTCTTTACTTCCTTTAAGTGGAACATTAGTTCAACACTAAAACTGTAAAATTGTGAGAAGTCACAGCATTATATGTAATTTGTAACCATAAAAACTCACAAATGATTATTTACCAATAGGGAAGTACCAGTATATGGGCGGTGTGGGCTGATGCCGACATCCAATATTTTTACATACGTTTTTGCCAATACATACACCTTTTATAAAATCTAGAAAGCAGGACAAGATCTTTAGAATCCTTGGATTAGCATTACAGAGAAACATAGCATGTATTTCTAGAGATTTGCAAATACAGTGAAATGAATAAAATGTATACGTTTTAGCACAGTAGCCAAGTGCCACCTACGCATTCTGTTTTTTGGGATACAATAAATATGGCATCAAATATCAGGGTGAAATATTGGTCAAATCTAGATGTCTGTCCGATGACAATACTTTTATTTATTTATTTTTTTAAGCAAATATTTGCATAAACAAATCATTCTGCATCACTGTTTACCAGTGAAATACTAAATGTTAAAAAGAAAACTGAGTCTAGAAGATTAAATTACATCACATCAGAAATACCCAGAGTTTTCTCAGTATCAAATTACTGAAGTGCTTGTAAACATGTAGAACGAATTACTGCCAGAATTGGATTTTCTGCAGTTATTTGATTATTTTGTACATATGATAGTTCTTAAAGTTGCGTAGAAACTTGTAACGCACAGATCCAAAATGTTGGCTCAGTGTCCACACTGATACTGACCTTATGCATCGGACACAGTCGCTCTTAAATGGAAGTGTGTCATTCCAAAACATGATACACACTGAATTCTCAATTTGTGTTTTTATTGATGGAATAAAACTTGTTATAGACAATGTTGTTTGTTTAAAACAAGTGTTTCTTTAGATATGTGGAATGTACCAAGTGTTTCTCTACAGTAAGCTGCAGTGTTCAAAATAAAAGCCCCTCTTAACCAAGTGTGGCATGGCAGACTTACAGGAGGGCTTTTCTAATTCTGTTGTGCTTTACACCAGTTTCAACAGCAAATATCTATTTTTGATTTTGTCTCTGCCCAGCTGATTACAAGTGCAAATTAGCAAGCAGATTCCTATCAGTGTTTATTAAACATTTAAGATTAAAAGAAAATAAAACGTTTGTGTCTCTCACGTTTGTTGTAGGCCACCTGTAAGTATGAGCGTAAGCTGGCATCTCTGCAGTCCCAGCAGCAGCACCTTCAGCAACGTTTGGAGGAGAGCAAGAGGCGCTTCCAGGAGAACGAGGGTTGGCTGCACCGCATTGAAAACGAGATGAAGCTGCTCGGTCATGATGGACAAACTCCAGAGGTCAGCACAGCATTCAAAGGGTTGTGGGTTATCAGAGTGCAAAGCATGTAGCTTTCTGACTCTTATTGGAGGTAATCTAGAGGTTGTTATATTTGCAGTTGAAATGGCACTACACTTGAAAAGTGTTCATGGAAGAAGTTGACTGTTTCACCTACACACAGAATGCTAGCTAAATCATAGGAGATGGTTCAGCATACTTGTTGCAGACATGTTGATCTTAGTTTTAGTTTTGTCCCTGAGATTAAAATGTTTATTCTTCTTGTTTTTTTATTTCTACTCCTATTTTGTTTCTTTGTCCCTTTTAGCTATATCACCCCACTAGAAGATGACTCATTTAAAAGCCCAGAGATCAATGCTCTTTACTCCTTCTCACAGCTTGTTCCTGAATCTATACACCTTACTCCACTACTTTCTCTTCTTCCTCCTCCTCCTCCTCCTCATCCTCCAGCACCTTTTTTTCTTCTTTTCCTGGAAGTAGAGCAGTCTAGCGATGCACCCGCCCGTCAAATGTTCCGTGATACGCTCGCGTTTGCGTCTCCCTGCGTCAGAGGTGGGGGCTAACAGACTCCTCAGAAAGCACATTCTCAGAGAGGTGGAGGAAAACAAAGGCCACTCCAAAACAGATCACAGCTGGTCTGTGCTTGGCCGTATTGTTTTTGAGGCAGTGCTCCTCTCTACTGGTTTCTCAGTAAAGAGAAGGGATTGGTGCAGTTTGATCCTTTCTAGGCCCTAAACCCCCTCCCACTGACTCCTCATTCTCACCTCAACAAGCCAGCCATGTCAGTGCAGTGCCCTCTCTTCACTTGTTTGTTTAAATCCTCCTACCATGAGGACTTTTTACCTGTTATCGTCTGGGATTATTTTTGTTTGTATTGCTGAGAGTTCTGATTGTTCCAGAATAAATTAATAGGTTTTTCCTCCCAATATTTGTTGATAGGAACTACTCAGAGCAGGGGATAATTGGGGATTTGGAGAATTTCCATTGAGAAATTGGGTTTGGGCTAGGTCAAAATTTCGGCCTTGACCTCCCTCCCCACCCCCTTTGCTGCTTTAACTCTGCTTGTGCAATGAAAAAGGGATCTTACTGGGGAAATGGAGACATGATGACATGGTTTCTGACAGGCTGTAATGTTAAAAGGTTTATATAGGTTTTCAATAGCAGTTTATTCAAATAGAAAGAGAAGACTATAGTTGAAATGCTACCCTTTTAAGTACATGAGCTCTAGTCACCAAAGTGTCTCCTTTGAATGTCATCAAAAACTTTTTTACTACTAATGTATTAATAGATCCTGTACTAACCCTTTGAAAATGCCTGTGCTGTTTGTTTTTCTTACATACTCGTGTGTGTGTGTGTGTGTGTGCACCCATGGATGGACAGGAGCTTAAGAAGGAGTTGCAGTGCTATAGGCTTCAGCTGCAGGTGTCGGATCTGCAGCAACACATCGAGCACATGAGCTACCTGATCAACGTGCAGGACCAGGAGAACAAGCACACACACAAGTATGTACGCAACTTCACTTCTATCTATCAATCTATCTATTTATGGGTCATTGACATTACATTCTTGTGTCCATTATGTTCCCCAAGAATAATATAAAAAGTTCATGACGTATATCAAATTGTTCAACAATACCTCCTTTTTGTGAAACACATTTTCAGAGCATTCAACCAACCATATGTTGATTAAGTAAACTATCAAAAAAATATCATTTAGTCATATAACTTTGTAAAGTTTGCATTATTTTATGTTTAAAAACTTTTAAATAAAAACCATGTTGCAAAGTAAGGCAAATTTAAAAGTACCCAACTTGTTGAAGAACTTTTGTCCGCAAGTTCTTTCTTCCTCAAATGTTAGGCGGCGCAACCAAAAACAAGTGCCTTTTATTTTGACATGCTTTCACGAAAGAGGGGCCAAGGTATTGCATCATAATAAAGACCTTCTTGGTGCAATGCCAAGGTCAAGTAGTCCTTTTTACGAATTTTGGTCTTTTTCATACATGGTTACAATTGTTCAATTTAACGCTTGAGGTGGTGTGACCATAAAAATGTGTAATTGCTATAATATTGTTTATTTATTAAAAAAAAAGGTAAGTCTAAAGTCAAGTTCAAAGACAAAGGTTTTCTACGGGTGTCTAAATAGATGCCTGTTTAATTTGAAATTTGTGTGAAAAGTCAGGTGGCACAACCAGTAAATGTCAAATAATACAACCAGACCAGTACAGTTTTAATAACTGAAGTAGCCAGTTAAAAGCTTTGATAATACTATATTTGAGATATAAATATATATGCAGATATAAAAATTTGCATCATTTTAGTGCATCAAAATAGCTGTTTTGCCTTTGCTGCGCAGATTTTTAGGTTTTTAATTCTGCTACATGCGCTTTACTCATGATGTCTGGGATCTTGCAAATAACTAGAAACTATTATTAACTATTATTTCCTGGTGCTTCAAATTTTTGGGAGAACAATTTCAAATCCATGGAGTATCACAAAATGTTGAATTTGATCAATTATGTTTAATTAATTATGATAAGGTGGTGCCTCAATTTGATACATTTTTTGATAAAGCAATAATAAGGTGTGGCTATAAAGGTTATTTTAATGTTACTGTATTCTTTTTCAGTTTATTAGAGCATACATCTGTACAATATTTGCAATAAAAGCTCTAGCACTCTAGCCACAAGCTAATGTATTAGCCCCAAGCTAACACACCAGTCAAAAGCTACCCACAATACGATACAGTACAATACAGTGGTATACAATTCAATGCAATGCGATACGTTGTATCGTTCTATCCCTAAAGTTAATAGTTTTCTTTTCTAGAAAGCTTATTAATGCTTCAATTGTGTAGAACTAATTAACTGAAATTAATAAATAAATGTCCATCTCTTTCCTTCATGGACTCATTCTCTTTGTAGACTGGTTCATGCCCTGCTTCCTGCCTACCACCGGCAGTACCTGGCACTGAAGGCTGCGGGCATTGCCACGGCAACGGAAGAAAGTATGCAGGAGGAGCTTGAGCACCTGGTGCTGAGAGAGCGAGGTGTGGTTTGGGCCGACCAGGAAACCACGGAAGTGAAGAACGAACCAGATGGTTGCACCGAACACACCTGTCTCCAACCCATCCTGTCTTTCTCTCACCTCATCACTCACCAGAGCACACCATGCAGTGAGTGACTCAAACATTTCCCCTTTGACCCTACAGGCAATGCAGATGGGTAGATGGATGGATAGAGAAATAGACAAATGGATAGATAATTAACAGTAACAAAAGCTGCTCACTGTGTTTTCCAATACTGCAGTGGTACCGTACGGTGCAGAATTCAGAGACTTTGGTTTATTTGATTTCCAGTGAAAACGGCCATTAAGTATGTCCACGCTTTGCCTTTTATTCAGTTTTTGCATTCAATTTGTACAAATTTTCAAAGATCAGTCTTAGAAGTTGGTTGCATGTTTGATTTTTCTTTTCTCAGAAACAGGTTTTTGACAGCTACACATTCTCTCAGACTAATAGTATTGTTGTCTTCTCACTGTGAAAGGTTGGACAGAAACACCTGTGGCACCTATAAAGCAAAAGTGGAGCTTAATTTTTCTTGTGTGTTTCAAAGATGAAAGCTTTAAGTACTGTTTATCTGATGGTGACAGTTTTGATTGTCTACCAGGTCTATGGTTAAGCATCTCATTTTAATCTTTTAAGTGTTCTTGAAAACGTCTGTTTTTTTTTTCCCTTGTTTTCCTTTGAAAAATGAATAACTTGTAATTAATGGCCATTTTGATTAGGAATCAAACATACAACTGTGGTCTCTGACTTGTGGTCTCTCACACTACAGTACATTTGTGTGCATTACACAGTTCTTGGTCAGTGATGTATGTTTTGGACTTTGTGACAGACTAAACTAATGCTGCACTTTCTCTTCTCAGGTGCTGAGAAACACACACGCAGAGTCTCTCAGCGGCTCAAAACCTCTCACTCTCCGAAAGGTAAATGTGCATGTTCGTGTGTACATATCTTACTCTGATTCTTGCTGTTTAAGCAGTAAAGGCTGTATAGTCTAAATAAAACACTAAACAAGCAGTACTGACACGTTCAAACATCATCTAATGACATGAAGTATTACACATTTAATCTCTGAAAATTCTGTCCAGCCAGAAAAAAAACTTTTTTAATATGCCTACACATGGCAGTTTGCACAGCTTTTAAACAGCATTAAAATAGACAATTCAGCCATTAAATAAAAGTAGTCAGTCAGATCTTTAGAGTCTGTGCTTTTTTCTTTCTTTATTTCTTTGTGTAGTTTTGTGTTCATAAGTCATTGACAAGTCCTTTATTTTCCTTTTAAATAATTCAATATACACATGACATTATTCTACAATAACTCCTTTATGTGATTACATTTTCACAGTGCATTAAAATAAAATTCACTTTAGGTATTTATGCTTCTCAAAGTCTAAAGTCAGGTGGTGTGACTGTCCAACCATATATGCAGGTTAACTAAACTGTTTTTAGAAATTCCAAATAAAATAGTCTAGCAAGATTTCAGGTTTGAAAAAAATCATAATATGTTGAAAAGTTGGGCAACTTTAAATGTATTCAACTTGTTGAAAACATTTCATCTGGAAATTCAGAATTTTTTTGAAATGTCAAGCGGCACTAAAAAACAAAAAAAGGACTTCAATGAAACTTGAAATTTTACTGAAATGCTTTTAAGAAAATGTGAGTACTGCATCATAAAGAAGATTCAAAGTGACCTTCATGCTGCAAAGAATGGTTGGGAGCTCTTCTACAAATCCTGAAAATTTTGTCATTTTTGAGTCGTGGTTTGGCTGGTTCAGTTTACCAAGTCAGTTCGTGTGACCCCAGAAAAATAATGAAAATGTGTTGAAATAGTTATGTTTATTGATTTAAAAACATTTATGTATACGCTCGAGTTCAAGCACAAAAGTTTGTATGTGTAACAAAGTACAAAGACTAGTCTGTACGTTTCCAGTAGTCGAATATAACTTAAAAATATAATATTTTTAGTCACACATCATTGTGCTGCTTGATGTTTTCCGGGTGATTCAATTGGCTATTAGGCAATTAATTTCTACCATTATAAAACTATGAAACACATTTCAATGTTTTGAATAGATTCTTGCAGATACAAAAATGAGCATCACATCCTTTCAAATAAGATTATATTATTATTATGATTATTTTTAGAGCCTTATTTGTTGTTGATTCTCCTATTTGAAATTGCCATATATTGTAAACTCTTAATTTAAATTGTTTATTTTGAATGGATTGCTGTTCACCCTGTGCTAAATATCAGTTTTTTTAACGTAAAGACATGTAATCCTAACAATTAAGTAAATACTATGAAAATATGTAAAAGGAACAGAAAGGACTCCACAACAAAGAATTTATTCATCATAAAATTAGGGATCATAATGGTCCCATACCACACACTTAGCAAAATTAGCTTAAAAACTTTGATCTAACTTGATTTAATTTGGCAGTTTTTTCACATATTCAGCCATTTTTCTTTATTTTGTAGGACATTGGTTTGCTTCTCCCTTTCTGCTTTTTTGTCTTTCATTAACTTTGCTTCTCATTGTTTTTCTGATTCTCTTACTTGATCCCTCTATTTTATCCCCCTGTTCTATTTCATTCTGTCACTGCCTCTTTCGTTCCCCATGGTCTGCTTCAACATACTCAGCTTCACTCATCAATCCAGCCGCCAGCGTCTCCAGCATCACTCATGTTGACTGTCTGAGGGAGGGAGAAAGTGAGAGAGACAGAGATCTATCAAAGATCAAACACTTTGTTGTCGATTGTACTTCACACATCACCCTGAAAGCTGACGGCTCACTCATTCTAAACAGTCAGAGATGCTTGTTTTAGTGGATTTGTTCACAGCCCACGATGCAAATTAGCTTGGCTGCATGAACCGCTAGACGTTTGGGAGCTAGATAGGATACGAAGTAAACATGAAAAAGAAATGAAATGCAATTAATTCATGCTGAGGTCAAATCTGGGGCTCATGAAATAAAACTTGCATGCAAAGTGAGGTTATCACCTCAATAAAATTGGAAAATATCTCTGAACAAAAAAGGGAAGAAATTAAAATAATCCCACACAGGAAAGAAGTCAGATTTAATATATGATTCTTTTGCACTGTTGATTTCCATTGTCCAGTGTGACTCAATGAAACGCTCGCGGAGCTTTCACTGCATATAAGGGGAAAGAACAGAACAGAATGAGAAGGGAGCGAGGGGGAGGGACCCTTTTGGGGAATGGAAGCGGAATGAGTTATGGAACAGTAAATGGGCCATAATGATATTTGCTGCAGAACAGGTGTTCCTCATTTGATTGAGACACATTGTGGGAAGTACAGGGAAACAGGGTCCCAGTCAGAGCAGAGGGGGCGGATCGGGGGTGAAGGAAAAACACAACACAGAGTGAACGAATAACACTGAGAAATTATACCAAGGAGAAACTTCTACTTCCACATCAAGACCCATTTAAAAAGCCATAATATGACTGACGTCTAAATCGTGCTTTGGTAATTAATCAAACCGCTAAGGCTCAGCAAGTGGATTTGTCCCGATCCGATCAATAGGCTCTGCGTCTGCATAGGCCTTAGACTTTATATAAAAAAAGAAGAAAAAAAAAGAAAGGAAGAAAAGAAAAATCTGCTTGTGAAAAGTCTGCGGTTGATCTGTCACCGAGGGATAAATTTGAGGAGCTTGAGCCTTTCAGCCAGAGGAGCTGTTTTTCTTCCTGCCTCAACATTTGACCTCATAATTTTTAGCAGGAAAGAAGTGAAATAAACCCAATTCACTTTTCTTCCATTTAAAAACCTGCCACATCCCCAAACCCCATTGCTTTATGACACTGCTGTCCCTGCACTCGTGCTGAAGTGCGAGACAGAGCGAGGGAGAGTGAAAGAGTGGAGGAAGAGCAGGAGAGAGAGGATGGAAGGTGCACGTGTCTGTGTGCACGAGGCCGCTGGTGTCCTGGAGCCGCCGCTGTGGATGCAGAGCTCAAAACGTCACTCAGTCACTCCAGATATTCATCTATCGTATACCTTTACCACTATATACCCCACACGTCTCATCTCACTGCAGCTTTATCGACTTATTGACCATATTGCATTACAGCATTACTAAAGCATTTAGAATGTTTCATATCAGTCTATTAATCAGTCTATACTTATACATATTCTCTCTCTCATTCCTTCCATTAGGTCTAAGTATGTCTTAGTTGTTTGAGTTTTGTTTTCTCTCACTTTTTCTCATATTTCTCAGTCTGTTTCATTTTCTCTTCTGTCCATCATTCCTCTTTCCATTCTCTCATCTATTCTGTTTCTTTTTACTACCCCCTGTCTGCTACCTCTTTCTCTTTTGTCAGTCTCCTACTTTCTTCTTGCTCTGTTTTCTGTCTGCTTTTTCTTTTCTCCTCCTATTTTGTCTGCTGCTTTTTTTTTCTTTATCTCTTTCATTCTGTCTGGATAGATCTTTGTTTTGTCTTTGCTGCTTTTCTTTTTTCTGTCTCTCTCCTTTTTATTTTGTCTGCTGCCTCTTTCTGTGTCTTCTTCTCATTGTTCACTCTGTCTCCCTGTTTCTTTTTTTCCCCTCTCTTTCTCCCCCCATTTTGTCTGCTGTTTCTCTCTCTATCCTGTTTGTTTTTTTTTTTCTCTATTTCTCTCTATTCCGACAGTTTTGTCTGTCTGCAGCCTCTCTCTTTCTCTCTCTCTGCAGCCCCACCCCACTCTCTCTGCCCTTCTCCTCAGTCTCATTCATAAAATTGCTGTTCAACGGAAGAGGGAGGGGCAGGGAGGGGAGAGAGGGGCTCAGTCACGTATGGAGTGAAACGCTCCCGGATCATCTGCGTGGACGCACAGCGGCACAGTGAGGGGGAGAGAGAGTGAGGCGGCGACCCTAATCCGAGGCTCTCTCCTCCAGAAATAGCACCTCATGCATGTATTAATCCCGTCAGCCAGAAATACGCCATCCAGAGCACTCTGCCACCAATTACTGCACACACAACACCAAATATCACACTCTGAACCTCAACCCCGACTTTATTACACTGTGTTCCTCACACACACTTACAAATCTCCCCGCAAGATGTGTGTGTGCGCATATGTGTGTGCACCGCTTTATCAGGCCAGAGTGTGTTGTTGTCAGTCAGCCTCAGCAGTGACGTAGACGAGCGCTGTTTTCTGTTAGAGAGCATCAAACAGCGACTGGCTCTGAAGAGCTCTGCTTTTCCTGAAACTCACCCACCACCCTCTGTTCTGTAACTGCTTAGCGTTTCAACTAGGACTGTTCAGTGTGTTGTTTATAATCATTATTGCGATATTGCCCTTTGCAATGCTGATCACTAAAGGCTCTAGTATGCAAAAGAGCATTCTCACTAATCACACTGTTTTCTGACCAATCATCGTTCCATATGTGTAAATAGTTTTAATCGAAATAACACGACATTCTTTAACCACTAAGAATTCTAAAAAGTGGGCATCTTTACATTTTTGACTGTAACTTGGCAGTTATATCACACTTTTACCAAGTGATCTGCATGTGCTGGTTTAGCACAAACTCAACATTTCAGTTAACTCAAATGTGTAAATAAGTATGCAAATGCATAAAAACCTCAAAACTGAAACCTGCATACATTTTTACCTAAAAGAAAAAAAGCAATAAAAATATAAAGAATAAAATAAATGGAGTGGAAAAATCAGTCAACCTCTTTAACAACTTATAAAAGTCACTGGAAGCCTCTGTTGGCTATGTGTTCATGTCTTGGACTGTTTTTCACATCTATGTCAGTAGGATTTTTTTTGTTTGTTTGTTTTAAGGACAATGCTCTTGATGGTAATATGTATTGCTCTCTAGTTGTACAGTTCCACATCACTCTCCTGACAAACAAATAGTATGTAAAATGTTTTAAAGTTTTCAAAAGTCACTCTGGAAGTCGCTAGTCACGTTTGAATTTGCTGTGACTTTGTCTGAAGACGTGCTTTTAAAAAGAAACAGCAGTGTGTAAGTCTTTTAAGCTAAATCTCTGCTTTGATTTGATCTGCTAGATGGTCTATTTTATCCTCCGATCGACTTCCGACTAGTTTGCTTGCTTTCAGCCTGTGGTACTACGACATTGTTCATTGTTAACACGTTAACTTTGACAGCCGTTTCTGTTGGTCCATCTATCATAGGATGCTCCCAATTTTAAACTGTCCCTTTCAAATGGTGTTTAAAATAAATAAAAGAAAAAAGTCACTTTTCTGAAATTCTGCTTGTCATAAGGGCTATGCTTAGAGTCAGGTTTAGGATTAGGTTTTGGGTTGATGTTAAGGTTTGGGTTTAAGGTAAGGATTAGATTTAATAGAAGCTAAGTAATTTAAGTTTAGTGGCATTTAATAGATATTTAGTTGAAGGTTTGTTAAAGGCAAGGTGAGCCTCTACAATGTGTTTACAGTGGACTCTCAAAATTGTTACCAAAATAATAAAATAAACATCATTCACCAAAACACATTTGAAATATGAAGCATTCTGGATATTAGTTTCAGTGCAGCATAACTGTTCATAGAACATTTAAGTCTTGTCAGAATTATCTACAGCGCTACATTTGTTCTATTATTTTATTTGTTAACTTTTTAAGTGTTAGATTTAATAGAATAGAAGAACATCAACCTAATGTTCTGTTGCAAGTTAGTTAAAGACAAGGTGTTAAAGACATAACACCAAAATCACTTCTGAAATATAAAAGCATTTTGGATATTAATTTCATTATAACTTTATTAGCCATTTTAGAATTATCTTCCTTTTGAATTATCTCGCTTTTGCATAGCCTCAGTAGATGATCTGTAGATATACAAGCTATTAAAAATCTGTTAAGTCATTTCATTCTCAGCAAGGTTATGATTAGGTTCAGGACCAGGGTGAGTATAAAGTTTCGGTTTTAGGTTGAGGTTAAAGTTTGGGTTAGGTCAACTTTTTTGGGTTATGGAAAACTGAAGAATTTAATAGATTATTAGTAGAATGTACGCTAAATGCAAGATAAGGTTATATGAAGCATTTACAGTGGGCTCTCCAAATGAGGTGTTCTTTTGATATACAGATCAGGTTTAGGTTAAGGGAATCTGTTTGGACCCATTCGGCTTAGTTTATTTGCATTCGATAGATTTAGTTGAAAGTAAGTTAAAGAAAAGGCATTCAACTACAACACATCTACAGATAGCTGAAAATAGTATTACTGAAAAAAAAAAAAAACCTAATTAAAAAAAAAAAGCGTTCCAAGGTTTCTTTTTGATGCTGACTGTATATTGCAAGGTATATAATGTAGCTGTATAATCACAATGCTAGGATGTCCAAGTCATATAGCCCTAAATCAAAAACAAATAAGAGTGTTAGCTGTTGGGCTGATGCTTCTTGGCTTCTTGCATGCAGTCCATGTTTGTGAAAATAGCTTCCTGTCCACTGAGAGACAACTACTTATTAACAGCTCCAGCACCATCAATACTAGGTTCTTGAGTGACTCTATTGGTCAGCAAAGGATGCAGCCACTGCCTTTATCAATCACACTTCCTCTTTCTGCATTTCCACTTGATCGTTCGTTCGTTCGTTCGTTCGCTCTCTCTCTCTCTCTCTCTCTCTCTCTCTCTCTCTCTCTCTCTCTCTCTCTCTCTCTCTCTCTCTCTCTCTCTCTCTCTCTCTCATTCTCTCTCATTCTCTCTCCCCCTCTCTCTCCCTCTCTCTCTCTCTCTCTCTCTCTCTCATTCTCTCTCCCCCTCTCTCTCCCTCTCTCTCCCTCTCTCTCTCTCCCGCTCTCCCTCTCTCCCCTCACCACTTGCTCTTTTTCGTGAGTCAGTGTGCAGCCTGAATGCAACGTGCTCCGGCATACTTCACCACTCAATATCCAACGTCAAACCTCTCCAACAGCGCCCAGCTTCCTGGAGCCTCCCTATGCGTCCACACACACACACGTACCACACACACAGCATGTGTGAAAGCCTTCACCCACGTCACCGTGTGCTCGTTAAACACCTGGCCTTCAACAGCATGGCTCTGGACAATAAGTCCCCTGATATGAGTTTTTGGGTTTTTGCACATACAGTCTCTCTCTCGCTCTCTCCGCTCTCGCTCTCTCTCTCGCTCTCTCTCATATTCCCTCTCACATTCCCTCTCACAGCTCCACCCCTTTTCTCCCCCTCTTCAGTCAAGTGTGCCGCTGCCACCGCTACACACTGACTCATCTCGGCCAGGTGACGAACACGGCTAAATTATTCAGTACTGGATGCGTATAGAATTATTGAGTGTGCACAGGATGGGGCCATGGCCTCTATGAATGAACACGAATGTATGGCATGTCGAAAGATAATGCGTGAGTGTAGGGAGGACTATAGACTGTCTGAATGAACGTGTGACTCATCAAGGATGGGTGCGTGCCTGCACTCTATATGTATTGTCTTAAGAAATCCAGGAATAAGACTTTTTAATTGGGATTAGATTTTGTTTGTGTAATTGCATCGCATTTGTCTGCAAGCTACAGGCTTACATTTCTTATAGTTGTTTGTTAAAAGAATCTGTTTGGGAGGAGACTGTGGTATGCCGCATACATAAAGGAGTCACTTTTAACAGTACAAACAATAAGCATCTTCAATAAATTAAAACACGTTGAATGCTAGGGATGCACAAATATGAGAATTGAGGGTCAGTATCTGATATTTTTCATGTACATATCTGCTGCTGCTAATACCCCCAAAAAAAAATATAAAATGAAGAAATTGGGACTAAAGCTATATGTATTACTGATAAATGTAACATCTCTGTAGGATCATAAATGCAGTAAAATGAATAAATAGCAAACAGACAAAAAATTATTTGTTAAAAATAAGAAATGCCTTTAACTTTAAGTAATTGCACCAGAAATAGTTTTTTTTTGTTTTGTTTTTTCTTTTTTGTTTTTTGTTTGTTTTATACTGCTTTTTTAAAATGAAAAGGGATAAATGGGATACACTTTTTCTCCTGCTAGTTTATGACAGTACATAGCTACATACCTTCAGTGTGAGTGAATTTTCTCTTCCAGTCCATGCACATTCTGCTTTCTCCTCAAGTTTATTAAAGCATCCATCTTTTGGGCTGCACTGAAATTTCTGTCTGAAAAAAATGGGTTTTGCTGCAGCACGAAAGATTTTTTTTTCCTGTTATATAGTGAATGCAAAGAAAGTAAGAAAAGCTCTTGTCCAAATTGTTAATTTTATTGTAGCTTATGAAGGGGAAAAAATCTGCATCTTTAACTAAAAAATGTTTAGTTAAAATAATGTTTAGTGTATTAGTTTTTATTTATTTATTGGCAAAATTTTGTAGACTTATTCATTTCATAGTTTATATGTTTTGTTATGTGCTTCTTTCTCAGGCCCCAGCCCTGCAGAGGAGCATGCAGCTAAAGCTGAGCCTCCTGCCAAAAAGCCGATCCGGAGGAAGCTTGCTGTGTCTCCTCCGAAACCTGGCTCAGAAGGGACGGGCCCAGCACTGCCCCGTTGCCCCCCAGCCCTACAGGAGGTGCTGCGGCAGGAGGGGATGTTCCCCCTGCAGTACACACCCGAAACACACGCCTCCAAAGCACCTAATTCCATCAACCCCAATTGTACCTTCGAGGTGGGCCAGGATGAGCAGGAGCCGACCCCAGCCAACGCCACCGTAATCCTGTCCCCTGGATCCCCTGAACCTGCTGGAGCTTCAGGTTTGAGCCAGCTCCAAGTGCTGCGAGCCAACAACAGCAACGAGCCACCCAAAAGGTAAGAGAAGAGCTTAGTAACCTTATCTAAGAGCAACGTCTGTTTCTGTTGAACAGGTGTTCCACCTGGAAGTACATTGTATATGGAATACAATGTACTTCCAGTGGTCTATTTTTAAATAACTTTTAAAAATTATTTAAAAATAGACTACTATTTTTAAATAACTTTTTAAAAAACTTTTAAATGAAGATTTAAATATTACAAAGTTTCTAAAAAAGCATTTTAGATGTTCTTATATATATATGTATGTGTGTTGTGTGTGTGTGTGTATGTGTGTAACAAGAGGAACCACTTCTGGAGCTTTCTGGATATTAATATTACTATGACTTCATTATTAGTGGGGTACAGCTTTCTTTCTCAGTTTTTTAGAATCTTTTACAACATTGTTCATTAATTTTTCAAACCACAAAATGACAAATTTGTACAAATGTGGATGTCTCAAAGTTATCGTTTGTGCGCCAACTTGTGTGTTTAATTAAATACACCTAAAACGCAAAGATAAATGACTAACTCAATCAAATGTTCAGATATGGGTATAGATATGGATAAGCAAGTGTTAAAACCGTTCTAGTTTTCTTCTGTAATTCAAAATAATATAAAAAATTCTTTTTGGGATGTTCTCTTTGTTTGAAAGTATGGATATCTGGTTACAAAAGTCTCTTTCTACAATATACACTTTATTAATTATATGCTGACCTCTGTATTAACTCTGTAGGTTACATGCTACATCTGTGAATATTAGTTTGTGGTGCAGTTCTTTATTAAGCAAAATTTCAATGTTCTAGATTGCATTTTTGTGATGGTTATGCTGTGTAATTTTGTAGATTGGAGATTCCATCTCTTCTCGACTTGCGTCGATCCAAGCCATCGTATATGGCCATGACGTCAGCAGCACAGGGCAAACGCAAGCTCTACTGGTGAGTATTCACATGTGGGGAGTCCTGTCATGCAGCACCAAGGATTGTATGTATCGTAGTTGGTGTCTAACTAAAATGGCTCACATTCTGTGTACCCTTCCAGCACTGGAAAGGAGACTGGACCGGACAGTCTACAGGGATGCCGCAGCACCCAAACGAATAAAGCGTGATCTGTCCGATACCTCCAAACCACTACGTGTCCGACGCTTCGGAGGTGAGCATTGTTCTGCACTACATCTGCGCAACCCACACTACTACTCCAGCTAAACTGTTCTGCTCTTGGGACTTTTCGCCTATTCCTGCACTAATAAGGTCTTTGAATTGAGAACCATTGTCAGTTCAGCTGTTCAGAAAACTGGCCCTTACTTCAGATGTGATTGTCCCTCTTGACATTTTTTCTGATTAAGCCTTTACACAGTTTGTTACGTTTGTATAAGTGCAAATGAAGTGTTCGGGCTAGGCCACCTGACAGCTGTTAAACTAAGTGTAAAGTTCTGCCAAAAAAAACCCCAGTCGCCTCCAGTTCCCACTGACTCTTACATTTGAGGTCTCTCTCACCAGTCCTTTCTTTCTTGATATCCCTCTCTCCTTCTCCCCCTCAATTTTAGAAGTTTGAAACCACATTTAGTTACCCCCAACTTCCTTTTCTTTCTTAGTCCTGTTATGGCATCATTTCTAGGGTTCCACAAGATACTGATGTCCAGTATGTTGTTAGTTGATAAATTTGAAAATGCAATTATTATTAGGTGCGATGTTGCATTTGCAATCAGTAATTACAACCGATAACTTTCTTTCTTTGAGTTTCTTTGAGTTGGTTTCATTTTCGCATATTAAGTCCGTGGACAAAAAAGGCTAACAGGTAAAATATAATTTGTTTGCAACAAACACAGTCAGCTTCCTTGCAGTTTGACTATGAGAGTTAAGTGATCATCCACAAATTACATCGCAAGGGGCAGTCATCGGGGTTATTGAGCCTGTATAACAGTGTACATTTTTTAGAACGGCCTTTGATGTGGGTCTCAAAAGAAGATTTAAATTTTTACACACTGACCTTTTACCTTGATATGGTAAGCAACATATTTGTAACAATTCAGAATATATACATAACAGCACAATATTTGGACATAACTTGTATTTGCATAGTTGTTGAACTCAACAAACTAAATCAGTCCATAGCAACTACTCCTGAATTTCAGCCCAAAGTCTTTGTAGGAAAGTCTGTTCACTTGGCAGCCATCTTTGCAACAACACCAGCCACTTATTTCCAGCCATACAAAACCAGACTCCTGCCTGTTTGAATGGGGAAAGACCAAAATACTCGAAACTGAAAGCCATTTTCAGAGTAAGGGGGATCAGGGAATTCTCCTAATAGAATTTTCTCCTAAAATGTAGTCTTAGGAGTGATTTGCACATAAAATCACAGGGTATTGTTTATTTGTAGTAATTCAAATTCTTTGGTTGTTTTTTAATAATATTATTGTTTATCTGTAGCTATGTAAAATTAAGCATTGATTCATTTTAACCTGTCTTACGATCACTGCACTTAATATTTGATTTGTAGTGTGAACGTGTTTATATGGTATCCTTAGACTCTAGTATAAGGATCAGTTGTATAAGTAGACAGCAAAACACTTCCATCAGTCTGTTTGGATAAGAGCGTCTGCCAAATGTCACAAATGAAAATATGAATGTTCTCTTTCTTTTCTCCCGTGTCCAGCGTCATCGGAGAACGAGCCGAGCAGGAGAGTGGTGCGCAGCATTTCCGAGGGAAACCTCCATCTGCTGGGCCCACGGAAGCCCAAAGCAGCCCTGCTCGGCCCTGCTGCCCTCTTCAAGAAAGTCACCAAGAGGATGTGAGATCTCTCCAGCGCAACCACTTAAACCCACACACGCGTCTCCTAAAGTCTCATGCACTGATCTCTCTCCCACTCACATGCACATACATCTGCCTTACAGGACTTTGTGAGGAGAATACAAAAGGCAAGATCTTGTAAGGGTGTAAATACTAAGACTTTAAACTTGACTCTATTGTCTGTAGTGAGTCATGACAAAAATGTAAAGTCTTTTCTTAATACTATTAAAATAACTTTGTACATAGTTGTCAATGTTTTGACCTAAAACCAAGTGGGAATTAAAGTTGTAATGATTTTATGATAAGTTACTGCTCAGTTTGTTCTTATTGTAAAGAAACTTGTGAAAACCATTGTTTTAATTTTTTGTATATAAATGTCATTTTAGCTATGTCGTCCTCCTGTCCCATCTCTATCAGTCAGTTCTGTGTATTTTTTAATAAAGAGCTCTGCACTCTTTCACTCCATACGCAGCTGCTTCTTTTGGAATGAAAATGTGTCGGAGGCATAAGTCATGCAGAACGGGTTTTCAGCCGTGGAGTTTCTTTACATTTCAGCTGGTGAACTAATGAACTAATACAAAGGGGTTTTTGTTTTTATTTCCTTTTGATAAAAAGCCTGTTTCTATTTACAGCACCTGTTTTGTGTGCAGGCCTTTTTATATATAGGTGTCTAGGGTCAACTACAGAGCTTTCAGGTATGAGCTATGGTGACTTGGGTGTCTGCACACTAGCAGTGTAGTAGTGCACAAATTGTGTGATGTGATATGTGTGTACTGTGTTTGAAACAGAATGCTAGATACTGGAACATTTTCAATACTGAAGAAAGAAAGAAATGCAGATATTCATTTTGTTTAAATTTTTTAGTCCAATTCGCTGTTGGCAGAACAAAACCTTGTGTATCTCCAAAAGTTACAGCTTTATAGGAGAAGGAAAAATGTGCTGTACTTGTAATGTAAGTCAATATAACCAGACTTCTTTCAAAGTAATTCTTTGAAAAAAATTTGGAGAGACCAAAATTTGTTTTGGTCTATTCATCGTGAAATTTAAACACAACGTAAAGGGCAACAGGTACTTTCAAACTATGTCAAAAACTGAAAAACAAAAAAATGGAGATTCAAGGTTTTCTTCCGACAGCAGCAAATTGCAATGTATAATTAACACAAACAAGTAATACTCTTAGAAGACACAAGTTTAAGTACACAAAGTGTAAATGGTTTCAGGACACGGGGATGTTTATTGTATGTTTCGTGGTTTTCTCTTTTGAGAATATTGAAGTGTTGTTGTTGTGGTGTTTTTTTTTTTGTTTTGTTTTTTTTTGTTTTGTTTTTAAATAGAACAGAGAAATCAGTTCCAATTTATCACTACACTATCACATTTTTTTACTGTCTGAATTCTTGCTGTTTTATTCACACAGCTTATTGTCTTGTAGCTGCTATATTAGGAAAAAATGAATTGTAATATGCCATATATATCATAACATTTAAACCACACAGGTACAGTACAGTGCAAAAGTCAATACTCAATCCGTAATTTATTTAATGTCCAGTCAAAATGGCCATTCACTGTGAGCTGTTCATTTTTCAGCATCAGAAAAAAGAAAACTTAGTTGCTTTTAGTTTTTATAAAAGAAAATAGGCAGGGATATTTTTCCACACCTCCAAAGTTCAGTCTTAGATGTTGGTATCATTTTCTGCTTTTTGTAATCCTAAACTTTGAGGTCTGCATTGTTCTGAGAATACCAAGTGGCTTATTTGTTTGATTTGCATTTTTTTGTTTTTTCTTTTTTTTGTCCATTTTCCTTTTCTCAGTAACAGCTTCTTGACACCTACACATCCTTTTAGACCTATAGTGTTGAGTTGTCTTCTCACAGTGGAAGGATGGACAGAAACACCTGTGGATTTTTTCAGATCTGAAGCAAGAGTGGAGCTTGATTTTCTCCTCTCTCTCAAAGATGAAAACTAAGTATTGCTTATCTTTAGGTCATGTTTATGGTGACAGTTTTGGTGATCTATGGACTTACTGAACTCTAGTTTCGTTTTACTTTCCCTTTCTCTATGCTAGAAAAATTATGCTTCAGAAAACTTAGTAACTTGTACTTAATGGCTGTTTTGACTGGAGAATCAATAAAAGATTGGTGGTCTCTGATTTGCACGGTACTGTATGTTGTCAGAAGTTGTGAAGCTACATAAGACCTTTTACTGAGGATCTTCTTCAGCGACTGTATTACAGAGTTAACTCATCAGATCTCTGTGTTTGATCTAAATGGACAGGAGCTGTTGACTCTGCTGTGGTGATTGACGTTACGAGCTTGAGACAATGTCCAGTGGAATTTCTTAAACACTCCTTCCTACACCGACAGTCTTAGCTAAAGAAAACGAAGTTCATAAGCTCATTAGAAAATCAAAAAAGGAGAAGGAATTCACTGCAGCAGAGTGTCGGTGCTCCGTTCTGACCTCCTGTGTTTCTATGGTTTCCTTGTGCATGGAGCGGTTTGCCTTTAGAGGGATTCATTTGTAGGCTTTTAATTTTCTTTCTCTTTTCCTTTTTAGAAAAGTGGGGGGAAAAAAGTGAGAAATGACATTTGGCACAGGTGAAGGACTTTTTGCATAAAGTTCACCTGCTATATCTAAGGGTGAACAATACGGCAAGAATGTAAAATCATAATACATTTATATGATTCACAATATGTATACCACTATTTAGTTTTTTTGAGGGATACCAAACAAGTGCGACTAACAAAGTGCACCAGCAGAGCATCAGTGTAAAGAACTCGAATTGTATTTGTAAATCTGATTTGTAATCCAGTCACTTACTTAGTACTAGGCAGTTTATGCAGTTACTACAATACTGTGACAAAGTCAGAGATTTATGTAATTTCCACTCAGTTTCAGTAAGTATTCATTTTTCAAGAGATTGTTCTGAAGAGATTAGATACAAGATAATCCACTTGCATAAGGAAGGAGCAAGTCAAAGGAAAATATATGCAAAAACTGCAGTTCCAAACATTTTTAAAGATGTAGATACAGACCTGGTAGACCACTAAACCTGTCACCATCACATAAACAGTACTTAATGCTTTCATCTTTGAGAGAGAGGAGAAAATCAAGCTCCACTCTTGCCTCAGATTTGAAATCAGCAGGTGTTTGTGTCCATCCTTTCACTGTGAGAAGACAACACTATGAGTCTGAAAGGATGTGTAGCTGTCAAGAAGCTGTTACTGACAAAAAAGAATGTCTGCAAATCAAATAAGCTGTTAGTGTTCTCTGAACAATGGACTGACCACTGAGAGCCTCAGATTGCTTAGACTGTGAGAAGCACAGCTTAGTGCTCTTGAGTGTGTGTAGATTCAGTTCTTACCTAAGAACAAATCCCAAATAAGAAAACACTGGTGAATGTCAGAATCTTAATGAAAACTGTATAAGTGGGTTTTAAGAAGAAATCTCTTAAGAACGGTTGGTGAATGAGGCCCATTGTGATGTAATTTATCACAGTAACAATACCATATCATTATCTTGCCCACCCCAACCTGCACCATCACTTATAGCTCAGCCCTGTTTATATCAGAGACCGAGCAATATTTCAGCTGAATGATAATATTGGCCAATATTTCGGTCCAAGAAATTAAGAGATATCAACAAAAAATCTAGCTGTTTATAAAACAGATATTTAGCAGCTTGTTCATCCTGAAAAAAGTCACGGGTGTCCAAAAATTCTTTTTATAGACTTCTAAGCTAAAATTCATCACCTCTTCACTTTTTTTCAGCAATAGACACTGAACTGGTAAATTTAAACACAATAGCTTCATGGGTAAAGCAACGAATGCATATAAAACACATGAAGACCTTATCTTGACATGATAAAACATTTCTATAAAGAGAACTGATGAAAATGAAGAGCTAATTATCAAAAACCAACTGAAGCAATAACAACTGTAGGTGGCGCCGCCCCTCACGCTACAATATTAATAATTAATGATTTTAGGTCTTAATGACCTATTTAATAACCATTAATAAACTCATTTTGATCCATTCGTGAACCCTTATAAAGGTAGTATTATTTTAAAGTGGTACCTTGAGAAATGTGACATTAGGACTGATCATACTTTATGTTGCATTTTTGAAGTTCAAGTAAAACTTTAATTCTTGACTAATATCAGCTGATATCACCATGAAATTGGTATTGGTCGTGAGATTGTCATATCAGTGGGGCCCCAGTTCATATTAAACTCCTAGTATTGATCAGCTGGTGGAAGCACTGTTGAGAATTCTCGGACTTAAAGATTCTCAGACTAAACAGTAACGTGATCTAGTCGGTTAACCCTCCTGGGTCGCTGCTTTCATATTCCTGCTGCCAGACATCACAAAAGACTGATGTTGAACATGCAATTGGACACCCGCCTCCCTGTTCAGTGTCTCTATTTAAGCACCGATCTCCAGGGCAAAGCGCTGTGCCTGCGGTGGCATTGAAAATATCTTCCCTTCCACTTTGATGATAGTTTCACAACTCCTAGTTTGCACCGTGCCATCAATGTGATCTTTTTGTTTTCAGACAGTTGCTTCAAAGCTTTGCTTCAGCAGCACTGACACATCTCCTTTCTCTCCGTCTTCGTGCTCTCTATCTCTCCCTGTCACGCTCAGTCATTGACAAGAATCTCTTCACTGAGGCTTTTTTCTCCTTTTTTTCTAGAAAGAAGGAGGTCTCGACTAAAGTTTATTAACTTCCTCTCGGCCAATGAGGCGGCTGCCGTGTTACAAATGGCGTCCAATGAGGCCGAGCGAGAGGCTGGAGGTGGATGTTGCTTAGCAACTGCAGGTAGAATCTGGGATCATGTTGAAGTCATTGTCTTATCTTGGTTCCATGTGAGACCTCACATGTATATCACAGTGTTTTGTGATATAAATGGCAAACGAAAAGAGAAGCGTTGTGTAAACGGATACGAAGGGACACGAAGTTGCGTGGCTCCAACTTTGAATGAGTGAGGAGGGCCGCGTTTCTCAACCTTGCACCAAATTGTGGCTGCAACAGCCCTTGGAGATGTCTGTCAATAAAGGAGCACTGCCCCTTGTTGGTGCTATGGCTTTAGCCAGATCAATGAAAAACAGTCCTCACTGAGATTACTGGTAGGCCCGTCTATATCCTTCACAAATGCCGCGAGAA